AAGGTGATTTGTTCACCCCCAGCTCTCAAAATCAGTTTTCCATCATTAACATCAATAAGCGCCTTGGCGGTGGCGAGAAAAGGTCTACCCAGTATCAATGGCACATCAACATCCTCATTTATGTCCAAAATCACAAAATCAACAGGATATGAAAATGGCCCTACTGCGACTATCAAGTCCTCTGCTATACCCCTAGGATGCACAATGGATCTATCAGCAAGCTGGATGCTCATCCTAGTATCACTGGGTTCACCTAGGCCTAGCTTTTTAAACAGTTTATAAGGCATGACATTTATGCTAGCGCCTAAATCCACCAAGGACTTCCCTATATGCAAACTACCAATCATGCAAGGGATAGTGAAACTCCCTGGGTCTTTTCGCTTCTCTGGTAGTTTGTTCTGCAGGATGGCAGAACACTCCTCGTTGAGCATCACCGTTGACAGCTCCCCAAGCTTCCTCTTGTTGGTGAGGAGATCCTTCATGAATTTGGCATACTTGGGCATCTTCGATAATGCCTCCACAAAGGGCATGCTAATGTTTACCTGCTTCAGCATTGCCATGAATTTGGCAAAATCAGTCTCCAGTCGGTCCTTGTGCAACCGAGTAGGAAAGGGAAGCTGGGGTACATACTCCTTCACCACTGGTTGCGGTTTAGGAGCAGACACCTCAACCTCCTTCTCCATGTCTTCCTGATTAGCTGGAAGTGCTGAAGCAGGGGTCTCTCTCTCCTCTGCCCGAACAGGCGGATCGGCAGTCACCTTGCCACTCCTGGTTGTGATGGCACTGCAGTTGGCATTCGGATCCTGTGGATGAGGAATGGTCTGACCAGGCAGGGTACCAGGAGTCCTCTGAGCTACAGCCTGGGCAACACTCCCAAGCTGGGTCTGTATATCCCGCAGCACAGCCTGTGTATTTCTCTGACCAGCTTCTAGCTCCAAGAATTTGCCTGAAGCTTTCTCCATGAATTGCTCGATGTTATTGAACTTGTTCGCACTGGAGGTGGCCAGAGAACCCACCAAATCTCTCAATTCCGCCATCGGGTCACTCTGTACTGGAGCTGCAGGTGCTGCTCCTGTCTGCTGAAATGGTCGCACCTGTGACTGTGGTGGAACTGGCCCCTGTCTGGGCTGGTAGAGTGGCTGCTGTGGATGCTGAAATTGCCCCTGTCTGGGCTGGTACGGAGGCCTCTGGAAGCCAGGTGGTCTCTGGGGAGCTGGTGGTTTGGGATTTGCCCCAGCCCAGGAAAAGTTAGGATGCTGGCGCCACCCCTCGTTATAAGTGTTGCTGTAGGGGTCGAAGCGCCTGACATTACTGATAAAGTCCACCTGCTCCTGGGGAGTAGACGATTCCCTCATCGCCTGGCAGTCCTCTACGGTGTGATGGGAGCTCTCACACCACTGGCAGTGCATCGCCTGCGGCTGTCCTGTACCTGCAATCAAACCAGAACGATCGATAGCTGAAACCAGCTTCGATACCACCTGCACCAAATCAGATGACTGGGTGCCCACAGCATGCACACCACGTCCTGGTGCTCGCCTCGATCTCCTGGCAGTGCCCCAGTCGTACCCGTTCTCCGCCATCTCCTCAAAGAGTTGATTCAGTTGTGGCGGGGTTTTTGTCAGCATGTTCCCGCCACAAACCGAATCAATCAGCTGCTTGTCCTCCGGGAAGAGGGCGTGATAGAAGGTGCCCACCTTGAATGCATCATTGAAACCATGATTGGGACACCTGAGGAAAAGACTGGTGTATCTCTCCCAAGCATCCCTGATGGTCTCATCTTCGTCCTGGGTGAAGTGGGTGATCTGCTTCTGCAAGTCAGCTGTCTTGGATGGAGGATGGTAGCGGGTGAGGAACTTGTCCGCCAGGTTGGCGAACGTAGTGATGGAGCCTGGAGGTCGAGTGTCTAGCCACTCCTTGGCTTGCCCCTCCAGAGTGAATGGGAAGTACCTCAGCTGGATGGCATCTGCGGGTACCCCATTGATCTTGATTCCATCAATGAGCTCGTGGAATCGCCGGAGATGTGATCGGGGGCACTCCCCCTCCTTGCCACGGAACATCACCGAACCGCGCAGCATGGTGATTACTGAGGTGCTCACTTCAAAATTATTGGCTGGGACATGAGGGTGTTGAATGGGTGACCTCATGTCTGCAGCCCTAGCGGTCCAGTAATGTCCCATGGTCTGCTCCTCGGGATCGACCACAGCATGGTCCTGTGGATTGGCCATCTCCTCTTCTTCAGTGATCTGTAGCTGTGCTAGCGCCTCCTCCGCAGCCAGTCGCGCCTTTAGAGCCCGCTTGAAGTTTCTGCAGGTTCGTTCAAGCTCCTAGTCCAGTGGTAGTAGATCTCCCGACTGGCTACGAGTCATGCACTACCTGCACACAATCAGCAGAAGCAACCCGTGAAGGTACACAGGTGGAAGAGATAAAAATGCAGTAAATAAAAAGCTAGAGTAACAAATTCTCACGTTTCCCCAATAACCTAGAGGGGTCCCCGGCAACGGCGCCAAAAACTTGACACGCCAAAACACAACACCAATCTGCGACCAAGTGTAATCGCAGACCGGGAATGCAGTAACAGGCAAGTTATATTATCAACCCGGGGTCTAGATCTACTGCTTACTCAGTGATTCTCTGTTATCTAGCCAACTAAAGCAAGTGATTGTTGTTTAAAAGCAAAAGCAGAAAGAAAGCAGGAAATTATTCGGTTTTCCCAAGAAGGAAAGAGTCACTCGGGAATGAGTCCCCCTAGCTCCTTAGTTAGGTTCAATTGCAATTTACCCTGGGTTGATTTACTGTTGATTAGACTGCGGAAGATCCGGCAGTAGCTTGGAATCTCTTAAGCTGACCAAGCCCTCTCAGTCTAACTACCCGGCAGACGACTAGTCTTCACCGGGATAGAAAGCTGAAGCAGTAAGAACAGAACTCCACTACTGGAATTGGATTCCAGTACAAAGCAGTAAACTGGCTAACTCTCGTATAGCCAATCTCCTACTATCGAATGATGAGACTCTAGCAACCTAATCAGATTCTATCTATCTCAGATTGCAGCAGGAATCAGGAAAAGTTTATCAGACTTCAATTGACTCAATAAACATGCATCATTCGATTAAAATCAAACAGTAATATCATCCCAAGTCATTACAATCAATCCCCTAACACATAGAACTAGGGTTCTTCATCCCCAAGTGAGAGAGAGGTTCTACTCCATAGAGAGAGAGAAGAAAACAGTAATCGGAGTAGTCATACTCATAATGATGAGGAAAATCTGCTCCGGGATGATGATTTCCACTCCTAGGACGATCTCCAAGCTTGATTTGATGAAACCCAGCTCCAAGATGGCTTCTGGGATGTGTTCTTCGCACTTTCTCTCTCTAGGGCTCCGTTTTTGCTCAAAAAGTCCGATTCCCCCACTTTTGGCTCGAAATTGGCTCAAAAACCAGAATTTCCCGACTCACACGGGCAGGCCACACGGCCGTGTGGATCACCACTTTGCCCGTGCGAGTCGAAACGCAGCGTATGGATTAGTTCGAACTTAGGCTTCCCACATGGCCAGAATTGTGAGTTGCACGGCCGTGCGGGGTCTCCATCCTGACCGTGCATGCTCTCGACAATAACCACACGGCCACAATTGTGTGTTGCACGGCCGTGTGGTTTCCATGACTGCCCGTGCAGCTTCCTTAGCACCTCGCCACGCGTCCGATTCTCGTACAATCGACCCCAAACTCGCTCCCAAGCCTCCATTCACGTACTAGGACCTGAAATATGACAAACAAGCACAACCTAGCGTGAAATCGGCCTAAAACACGAGAAATCACATCTCAAACGGTGTAAGAACAGGGGTAAAAACATGTGTAAATAACGGTCTATCAGTAAATCAATTTAAATTCATGGAGGAACAAACAATACATATTGTTCACAACATGGACAAAGTAAATTCTAAGACCATGAAAACAATTATTTATATTTGTAAATATTTTTTAACATAAAATTTTTGTGCTCAATGAAATGCAGGAAAGCAAGGAAGAGATTATTCAAATGCAAGAGAAGGAGTATCTGTCGGGTGATATTGGAGATCAATATATCACTAATGGAGATGAAGATCTTACTACTGGCGGAGATGATGATGTTTCTCATGGCGTAGGAAGTGCAAACAAGCAAAAAAGAAAACATACAGTATTATATGACGATGAGGAGTAAATATAAGATTTTTCACAAAACTTCTAGGAGTCGGATCCCTGACATAGGGTTTATCTTTCATTTTTTGTAAAACAAATATACTCGATAACAATATGATGTCATCTTTTGGATGGGTTTCTTTCATTTTTCGTAAAATAATTATACTCTGTAATTAATTTAGAATGTCAAAAAACAAAATGATATCATATTTTGAATGGTTGAAGTATTATAACAATAATAATTTGAATTAGTTTACGCTACAAAGCAATTAAAATGTTATGTAATTTCATAAACTTGTATTTTTTAACCTTCTACCAAAGAGACGCTAATCTCAGAGACAAATTGCTACGACTATTTACGCGATTGACAAATGAATCAGGTCGTGGCTAGTCGATATATGAGATATACTGAATGACCTCATCCAACTCAATTTTGACTTTCCAATTTAGGTCACTCTCGTCTCACTGAATCTCTTGTTATTTTCATTACACCAAAAAGTAGATACTCTCAGTAGTCATCTGCCAACCTCCAATCCATCGACAAAAATTATTAATGACAATAATTGAGATATCACCATATCCTCCCTTCTCCTTATCCATGTCGTAGTTCTAGATGTAATACAGACTCTGGCTAGTCTCCTTGTGCTAAATAGGAATTTATAATGAATCCGTTCAATGGAGACTTGAATGAATACAATCAATGATGTCTTCGATTAGTTTTTATTGAAAAAAAAAATTCACCTCAAATTCTTAACCAAAATTTTCAAGCACGAAGTTAAACCTAGAAATCTAAACTATATAAATGCTCGAGATTAAGACCGCTATTTATATATTTGATTATTAATTGTGAAGGTAATTAGTTTCGTTTCATATATAAATTGGGATACCAAAATATTTTGAAATTGGGATATCAAATTTATTTTGAGATTTGATTTTAGGGTGTAATGAAGTATTTGGTTTCGAATACCAATATCATACCGATTTTCACCTCTATTTTTGAGAGCCGTATTTTAAATAATAATTCTTAAAATGCAAAAAAAAAAGTTTTAACAAATAAAAAAATTAAGAACCATAAAAAATAATATTTATATAATTTGTAATAATTTATTTAGGGTAAGCGGAAAATAGATGATCGAGGTGGACAGGTGGTATATCGATTATTAAGGGGAAAAAAAACAATTAACGAAGATACCTAATATCCCAAAACGACGTCTCAGAGCATTCGCAACCATTTGAACCTCCAGGTCAAGAAGAACAGAAAGCAGCCCAAACGGCTACTAATATAAAAAAGGGGGAAAAACGGCTCTTTTCTTCCTCCGTTTTCAATTTCACTCACTCTGTTTTCTCGCCCTTTCTTCTTTCCCTCGCAAACGGCAATAAACTTTCTCAGTAAACAAACAACAGAATCTCCCCCCTTCTTTCTCACTAACAAACTCCTCTCCTTCTCTGTTTCCGGTAAACTTCCTCGGCCGTTTCTGAGCAGAAACCAGAAGACGGGGCAGAAAACAGTGCGAATATCTGTCTCCACGCGATCAAAACTGAATCTTTCCGTTTCTTTCGTCTTTGATTAAAAGGGTCGCCACAGAACTTCCCCGGCAATGCGGCAGAAAGAGAACGATCGGGTTTGGAGTTGCGATCGGAAAGTTCAAGCTCGGGGTTTCCTCACCCCGCCGCCGACTTGGACGCCGCCGCATACTCGTGCCCAGCGTCGTCTTTTTCCGCCGCCGCCGTTCTCGGAGAGGAAGATGGAATCCTCCGCCAACTCCAGCACGTCGCCCGCCGGGAGTTGCAAGCACGACCTCTTCCATGTCATTCACAAGGTCCCCGCCGGTGATTCTCCCTACGTCAAGGCCAAACACGTTCAGGCAAGTCAAACAAAACAAGTCCACCTTTCTTTTCTTTTTCTTTTCTTTTCTTTTCTTTTCTTTATTGGGTATCTCAATTTCGGATGAATTTTGAATTTGAAACGCCGCCTGGGAAAATTAAGTTATCTTCTTCTTGGGTTTTGTTGCAAGTCTTTGGAGTTTTGCATGCCGAGTGTTCTGATAATTGCCTCTGTGGAATTTTTTTCTTTTGTTTGTTCTGGGTTCGAACAGTTGATTGAGAAGGACCCAAGCAGGGCAGTCCCCATGTTCTGGGCTGCCATAAACGCTGGGGACAGAATTGATAGTGCCTTGAAAGACATGGCTGTAGTGCTGAAGCAATTGAACCGGTCTGAAGAGGCAATTGAGGCCATCAAATCCTTCCGCCATCGCTGCCCTCAAGAATCGCAGGAATCCATTGACAACGTGCTGGTTGAGCTCTATAAGGTAGGACGGTTCGAACCCAGTTCTCGATTTCCCTCTGCTTTTCGTTCCTAAAAGAAGATCATTGCCCTGTTTCTTTTTCTTGATGATGTTTGTTCTGTTGTTTCGTACAGAGGTCAGGAAGGGTGGAGGAAGAAATTGAAATGCTTCAGCGCAAGCTGAAGAACATAGAAGAAGGAATGGTGTTCGGTGGGAGAAGGACCAAGGTCGCTAGGTCTCAAGGCAAGAAGATTCAAATAACTGTTGAACAAGAGAAGGCTCGAATTCTAGGGAACTTAGCCTGGGCTTACTTACAGCAGCACAATTATGGCTTAGCGGAACAACATTACAGGTATATGTTACTGCAACTTGATCTGTGAAATCCAAAAGAATGCTAACTTTGTTGCTTGTTCTAATGTCTATGGGATTCGCTGATTCTTCTTCTGCAGGAGGGCTCTGTCTCTGGAGCCAGATAGGAACAAGCAATGCAACTTGGCAGTGTGTTTGATGCACATGAACAAGCTCCCTGAAGCAAGAGCTCTGCTTCAAGCTGTAAGAGCTTCATGTGTGAACCAACCGATGGAGGAATCATACGCCAAATCATTCGAGCGTGCTTATCAAATGCTGACGGAATTCGAGTCCCACCAATCAAGTGACGAACCTCCTTCTGCTTCATCTTCTCTGCAAACTCAACCAATTGGTGATCACCATGGCTGGACGGAAATCCCCTATTTTGCTGCTGCAACTCCTCCGCCTCAAAGCTTCGGCATCCTCATGAATAGCGGAAGGCATCGGCCGGGTTCCAGCCAGAAGAAGAATTGTTATGCTTCAACCACACCTGTGCTGTTCTCTCGGCCTAGAAGGTGTTTATTCGGAGGAAAGTGGGGAGCAGAGGAATTCCAGCCAATGCGCAGTTGTAGTAGTACCAACCGCGGAGAGCATCAAGAGTTGAGTGCAGGAGGGATTGAAGCTACACAGTTAAAAATGGAGGCTAGTATGGTCACCCCTCAGCTGAAATCTCAGCCAAGATGGGGGACTGCTTCTTCTTCACCTTCACCTTCACCTGCTGAAGGAGACTGGAGGAAGCCATGGAGACAAGCTGCTGCAACTGCTGCGGGTACTACTCCTGGCAACAATGACAGCAATAATATAGTGGTTAAGTTTCCAGTGGGAGATGTGATCGTGATTGATAGGAAGACTAATCACAATGTTCTATCAGAAACAGAAGCTTCTTCTGTCGATGTGAAACCAGAGAGCAAGCACAAGAGTTGGGCTGATATGGTTGAAGAAGATGAAGCCGAAGCAGCGCTGGGAAAGCTACCAGTAGCTTGGAATGGTGATGAGGAAACGGGATCTTTGGATGAGAACTGGGATGCAAACGTGGCTAATGACGAAAAGTGCTGTTATCCAAAGAATGAGCAGCAATGTGTCCAAGCTGGTGGAGGTGGTATATCGAGGACGACAGCTGCATCGAGACGTCTGTGCTTCGATGGAGCTGGGAAGAATATGATCAACACGGCGACTAAGAGAAGAAACCGCCTTCAGGTTTTCAAGGACATAACCCCATCTCCAGATAGTCCACGGGCATCTTCAGTGGCCATGTGAATGAACAAGAAAGAAACGGCTCTCTAAATTCGTTGATTCTTTTGTAAATGATGATTTGTGAGGCCCCCATTTGTATATCATTCTTTCGATGTAATACATACAAGTGATGAATAAATAAAATCTCCTCCCTGGAGACGAGCTGTTTCAAAGATCACAATTTCCACACCAAGCAGTGTTTTTGTACTAACCAATCCATACAAGAATTGCATAGCATCGATCAAAAGGGGGACAAGACTCACTGAGAAGCGGAAGCATGAGGGAAGGAGAAAAGATCCATAAAATCAATCAACAGCTTAATGGAATTGTATTGCGCTGGGACAAAATTGATTGAATGTAATAATACATTTGGATCTCTCATCTGTCTATCAAAACCATAGTCGTACACAGAGGGATTTGCAGTTGCTCGGTCAAAACTTAGATAAATCCTCCTCCGATAGCTTTAATCGTTGAATTGCAACTCCATTTTGAGCATCAGAAATCTTCCCCCATCTTCCCAGGCGAGGTTCCTAGTGCAGAAAAAACAGATGATCTGTCAGCTTATGAGGCTAAGAGATGAGACCATATTTCTTAAAACAACAAACACGAATCGGTATATGGGAGGGTTCATGTTACCTTGCCAACGCCAGCAACGAGGAACTTCCCAGATTTGGCAAAAGCCATGGAGTTTACAAAACCAACCTGAGTGTTTTGAACAAGAAAAGGACTAGCTAAGTAACAACTAAAGGAGTATGCAGGATGAGACAATGCATAGGAAAGAGATTGTAAAATGAAAATGGTGATGTATGTTTGTTGCTAACCAGAGGAAGATCAAACAATGGCCGGATGGCTTTTCCTTTTGGAGAACTATCAATAGCCCATAAACGGACTGAGCCATTGCCAGCTCCTGATGCTGCCAAGTCGCTACCTCTACATGCAGCAACTGAGCTTACCCAGGAATATGCTGATGACAGTAATGATAATATGTGAGTGGGACGTGCAAATCACTAGAGAGAGTAAAAGTCTAGCAATTCAAGGTATAAAACCATTTTTTATCCACAATCGACACTTTCTAAAGTATCACAGATAACAAACACCACCAGCTAGAAGCAGGTTACGTGCATCACCATTAGAGGGTTTCCGGTTGTCATTTTCTTCATTCTTGAGGTCAGATGCCAAAGCATGAGCGTTCTTGATAACGCTCACGGGCTTCTTCCTTTGTACAGTCCGAAGCTCAACACTCCCATCATCAGAGCCAGAGAAGAAATCCTCATAATCAATTAGACAACAGCTCTCTAAAGCCGAGGTAGAAGAACGAAATATCACTCGGGACTCCTCGGGGACCTATGTGCAAAATCCAGATATGAGATGTCGGTATTACACTCAATTGAAAGGAAAGTAGACTTTGATATAGAACATAACCCAGATAGAAGATCTAATGGTTTGGAATGTCACTATCTACGATAGCATGCAGTAGAAGATGCTTCATATGGGGAATTGGAAACTTACTTGTCCCCGCGCAAATAAACACTTCTAACAACCCTATACTACGAGGAATACGGACCAAGGTGTCAAGACAAATTGAGAATTATTTCTCTTTAGTACCTTAAAAAACTGCATAGTACGATCGCGTCCAACAGCCAATACCCTTTCTTTCCGTAGGCAATCAACATTTAAAACGTCACTCTGATGACCAAATAATGTGCTTATGTAAGTCCTGTCTGCAACATTCCATATCTTGATCGATCTATCAAATGAACCAGAAAAGAGTTCTGAAGTCCCATGCCTAAATGCTAGACATGACACAGCTCCTCTATGGCCTGGGAAAGCCTGGAAGACATTTAAACAAAGATTCAAATGAGAACAGTAGAACCAGCCAGTTCAAGGATACTCTTCCTTCTTATCACACAAACTCATAGATAGGCATATTCGACAAATAAGATATAAGAAACTAGCCAAGATACCTGAACATGTTCACGTGTCCGAGTATCCCATAAGTGAATGTGCCGATCTGACCCTCCACTAGCCAAATACCGACCATCTGGGCTAACAGCTAAAGCCAAAACACTTTTACTGTGTTTGGTAGCTCGACCTTCTGGATTCTTGGCTCCATGGGACTTCAAAATTTTATCAGTTGGCCATTTGTATCTTTCACTTTTCCCACTCTCTATATCCCAGTGTACGATTGAACCATCCTTGGAAGCAGAAAAGCCCCTCAATTCGTCATCTGACAGACACACTGCAGTGACAGGATGTGTGTGCTTCACTAGGTAGCGAAATCCATCACCAGTTTCCGGCTTCTGAACCCTAAACCAATGACGAAAGTAAGTTGCCAACCAAATACAATCACATTCCACCGGTCAAATTCAAGCACAAACTATATATATCTTCCTAACTGGGTAGAAATGTAAACAGAACGAATGTATCTCCAATTCATTCACTGCTACTGAAGAGAAGTGTTATCAATTTTCGAAATGAATGGTTGAAACTTTAACAAACCTAAAAGGAAGAAACTTTTTCATAAAAATGAAACCCAACTTTATAGTTTCTTCAACTACTTACCTAGAAGCAACATCCCTCCTCAAGCGCCCACTCTCCTCCAACTGTTCTTTCATCAACTTCCGAGCAACTAAGGAATCCCTCTCGCCTTCCTTCTCATACCCTATTCCTTCCTCCACTTCCCCATCGTCCTCCTCTGCAAATTTCTTCTCAATAGCCATAAATTTTTGCAGAGCCTCTTTTCCAAGCCTTACCTTCTTCTCGGCGGCTGTCTCATCGGCATATTCATCAATCTCTTCATCCTCATCGCCGTGTCCAGAGCTCGCGTCAGAGCCAGGGTACCCATTCTCCTGGTCCGACTCGCCTGACTCAATATCATCGTCCCGGAAACCGCCCTTCCGCCGCCTCTTCGAATCGGGCTTGAAAAATGAATCGCCATTGCTCTTGGATTTGTTTCCTCTGGGACCTCCCGGGCCTCGCTTCGCCGGAGCTTTGTCCTTCATGAGTAAGAAATTATCAGGGCGTCAACCCCTTATGGCAGTTGCAGTAATCTGAGAAAGCCGCGACTTTGAAAGTTGCAGCCTTGCAGGGTATTCTGGGGAGAAACTGGGGAGGTAGGTTATTATGGGGAGAAAGCTGCAGGGGTTTAACGTTAGGGTTTATTTGTTTCTGTGGAAAGGAAGCGGCAATGTGATGACGGAGAAGCAAGATCAAGGCTGGGTCGGGTCGTCGGATCGGTGCGGTACTGTTACTCGGGTTATCTCCCATCAAAGGCTATCAGTAGGTGGGCCGAAAGCCCAATGGCGTTCGTATACAGGCTTACTTGTTTGGGTAATAGCATATATATACATTCGCTACCCAGTATTTGGGCCAATACTATGATGCCGCACTAAAAAGTGTGGTACCGGTGACGCCGTTTTCTATTTGGCCACGTGGAGCTGACGTGGCATGGGCTGGCTTTGATTAAACCCATCCAAACCGATGACCCATTAAAAGTGGCCGAACCCTACTATCTTAATTAACAGAAAAGTGTATCTTGGCGTTCCCACAGCCGTTACATTTGTTTTTTTATTTTCATTTATTAATTTTAAATACATTAACATTAAATTGCATTTATTTTTATTCTGAAAAAAAAAACGAAGGAAAAGGCGAAAAGCGAATCGCCGTCTTCCTTGTTCAGTCGGTCGTCAGATTCTGAAAAAGCGAACTGCCTGGTGGTGAGCGCCACCGTCGCTGATCAAACTGCATACCCTCCACCAAACTGTTCACCGTTCCTCCTCCTTGATTAACACGATTCGATTGGTTTTGGAAGATTCAGAAAACGCAAACAGAGGGGAGGACGACGACGGACAAACCATTCGATCTCCTTCGGCGAAAACGCAAAAACAGGGGACGACGACGATGGACGAACCAAAAGGGAGTTCTTTGATCACCTTCGCCGGCGTTCTCCAAAAGCACTCCGGGTACTTATTCGTCCATTATTGAATCGTCGACACCAAGCTCCTGGAGGTGCCGCGGAGCAAATTTTCCCAACAAATCAAAAAGCTTCCAGGTAATTTGAGAACTGTATATTTTTGGTTTGAAGACATTTATTCGGGTCCTGTTAATTCCCTATGCAATCTGAAGTTGTATGTCTTGGATTATGCAAGAGAGGTTGTATTTGTGTTTTCCCTTATTTCTGGTTTTATCGAGTGGTTTTATCGAGTGGCAGCGGAGTTTCTATTGTGTCCATCATACACTGCAGACATTGAACTTGAACCTCATTCTTAACAATGTAATACGTGATATATTATATCCTGATTTATCAATTGCTTGACAGCCATTTTAGAACCGATTCATTTGATTCAAAAAAGACTCTCTGTAACCTGAGTAAATATATGAAAGAGAAGCTTAGCATTAGAAGGGGGTAATACACAGTACCTGCAAGATATGCCTCTCTGTTCCAAAAATGATATGCACTTCACATTAGGTGCCGTGATGAAATCTGATAATGATGAACTTCTTGCAAACTTGGGCTGTTCCATTTTCCTCTGAAATTGTATATTAAGATACAATCTGTAGATTCTACTCCAACTGGTTGAGTTTATATAAAAACAATTAGAGCAATGTGTGTGTATGATAGCTTTAGTCTCTTATGAATCCCATATTCTTGTATCAGAATGTAGTTTGGAGTGCAGTAATGTATCCTTGATATATGTTTCAAGTTTGCCAACTATGTTTTTAGCCTTTATGCTCTTGTCTCACATGTGGTATCCCTGTTAGAAGGGTATAATCTAGAGGTGGCAATTTCAATCCAATCCACCAATCCAATCTATCAATCGATTAAAAATATCCACCTAATCCAATCCATTTTATCCAAATCCAATTGGATTGGTGGATCCATGGATCATTGGCAAATTACGGTTTAGTACCTATAATTTTTATTTTTTACATTTTGGTACCTAAAATTTAATTTTTTATACGAAAAATATCATTGGAAAATTACGTTTCGGTACCTAAAATTTTCCATTATGACATTTTAGTACCTAAACTTTTTACATTTTACATATTGGTCATTGGTTGAGTATGTCATTTGGATTCATGGATAATCCACCAATCCACTTGATCCAATCCATGAATCCACCAATCCATTAGATCCAATCCATTTGATCCATGGATCTACCAATCCAATCCACCAATCCAATCCATTTGCCACCTCTAGTATAATCCAATCTCTATCGGGTGGTTGCTGCATTTTTATGCAGCTTTGGTGTGTTTGTTTTTACTGTCTCCTTTGATATCTTTTCGTAATTCAGTACATGCACTTCATCATTATCCAATCATTTTGGGCCAATACTACAAGTGCGGCACCGGTGACGCCGTTTCTGATTGGGCCACATGGTGCTGATGTGGCGTGACTGGTTTATAAATCCAATTCAACCCGTTGAAGAGCCAAACCGCAGCCATTAAAACAGACGGGATAACGTCTCCGTCCTCACTCAGACGTTTGGCTATTTATCTCTCCCCTGTACCCCTCCACTTAACTCCTTCACCATATTCCTCCTCCTGCATTCATTCTGTACAACAAATCGAAGAATCCTTGATTCTAAGCGGTAGCCTGTCACCATCGAAGTGCTCTGCCGGCACAGACAATTAAAAGGCGAAGAAAGTTTGAATTGTCATCCCTGCGGCTTCCCCTCACTCTTCAATATCCTGTTGGAATCTTCAAAACCTAGGTGCCTAGAGACCTTGCCTAACGAACCCGAAGGGTCCTGCTAATTTGGTTTAGTTTCCTTTTGCTCTGCACTGTTATGTCACGACTGCTGCAATGAAGGTTTGTTTTGGGATTTTTCCCCTTGCCTTGTCGTGTTACGGAGCAGCAGGGTATTGGTTGAAGTCCCCATGTTCTGCTTATGTGTTGTCCTTCCCTCTTGTATCTTATGTCAGCTAACAACTTCTCAGTTCTGCCTGTCTGCTACTCCCGTTTCTAGTTGGTGCTTTTGCCAAATATGAATCCAAAACTTGAAACGTCGTTTGGTTTGTTATGCTAATTGGTCTTAAGTGAAATTGACAGCAAATTCATTTATCCATAAAAACCGAATTTGAATGCTTGTTTGAAGAGAATAGCACAATACTATTGTATCTTATTTCACTACATAATTAATAACCCAACATATCCTGGTTTATAAATCTCTTCAATTGCCTTTATGCGAATCTACCCAAAGAAAGGAAAATTGTGCAAAGCTTTTAAAATCTCACATGTTAGAGATAAGAAGGATTGCACCTTTAGGCGTACACATTTGCTACGACTATTAATAAAGAATCATCAATCATGCAGCTGCAAGGAGAACTTGTTTTCACCAAACCAATCCAATCCAGTACGAGGGGAGTTGTGCTGATTAGGACTCTATTTGTAGATGCTTTTGTGTGATGGTAAATCCTCATTTTGGCCTTGTAGTTGAATTTGTGAAAGAAGACATGAGGTTTTTCTTGGTTGGTCACCTCTAATTGACAAGATATTTTCTTAATCTTATATGTTTTATATTGGGACTGCAGGTGCTGTTCAATTTTCCTTCTCTGTGTGTTTTGGGTGCTGCTGTGCTTGTGTATGTTATTTGTTGCGGTTGTCCTTTTTTTTGGTTTGGCTTATTGGTTTTCTGCTGCAAGGGTTTGTGTTTGAGTTGTGTTTGGCTTATTAGCTTTCCCACTCAAATGTCCAGCCGGTTACTAACTTAGTTCATATTGTTAGCTTGCTATCAATGATTCATGTGATCCGTTTGTATCATTATGCAGGTAGTTAGGTCCTTTTCGATCGGAAAGTGTGCATCAAATTTGAATGGAAGGTTTGGCTCTTTAGTCTTTACTGAATAAAGCAGAATTATATTTATCAACTTACAGTTATCTCGATGAAATTTTTTTGGGGGGAAGGCAGGCTGGGGTTGCCGACCAAGGAAGCGCCAACAACTCACTTCAGTTGGAAACCGACTTGGCATGGAGGACATATTTTTTCATGAAAGCTGCGATGCCACTCTTTCATTTTATTGCAGCTAAACAAACTAATGACAACTTCATTTTCTTCTGACATAAACAAGCAAGATCTCAGAAGTAGAAACAATTACTGGAATCCTTGTGGTTTATGTAAAGTGTATTTGATTATCTTGTGTTGGTAGTCCGCTTGAAAGTGAGCAGGAACTTGTATGTACTACTTCTAAATCACAAACTGAAAAGATAAGCTTTAGAGAGGTGAAATGTCAATTCTTCTTTGCGGAGTAGAATTTGTATGTTGGACCATTTTCAGTAGGAAGAAAGAGTTAGTTTTGGGGACTGCAGTTTATATTATCATCATGCGATTTATGACATGGAATTTTTGCTTGCATCTCCCCTTTGCTTGGGAGGGTTTATAAACGAGTCTCTTTTCCGAGCATGTACAAGCAAGAAAGGAAATATGTTGTATGATGTTTTTGTTGTTCTCCTTTAATATTTTCCTGATTTTTTTCCATTAGCCAAGATAGAGTAAATGTCCCAGTTTAGATCAGCACTTAACCTTCGCTCATTCTACTTGTGCAATAAGCTAATAACATATCACACTAAAATTCAAGAGGGGAGTCAAAAGCCAAAGAGATTTCTAACTCAATCATTCAAAAGAGATCAGCATTAACATAAAATTCAGCCTACATACCAGTTTCGTCAGCAAAAGAACCCAACGCAGCAGGTGCACTAATTCATACTACTACTAAGAATCCCAGAACATTAAATTACATAACTATTCAGTCAAAACTACCTAAAACTTCACTAAGGCTATATGGTATTCCCCAACCGTCTGCAAAACTAAACCCTGAACAAACCAAAACGTTCCACTGCTACCACCGAGCTTAGGACACTTTGTCCGGGCATTCCTAGCCTTCTTTTTGCGTGGGCTGTGACTTCTGGGATTTGATCACATCGACTTTCTAAGCCTTCTTTTCGCTTACTCTTCTTAATCCTCTTCTTTTCTTCTCTGCGTTACCACGCGACATTCTTAGCATAATAGACAAAAAGATATTCACCATAATACATATCGTTAGTTCCATATATAAATTTTGAGACAAGAGGCAAACCTGATAGGATAGCAGCTTCCCTGCCTCTTCATTGCTACCTTGTCACGATAACGAGAATAACAATGCTTGACATAGCAGCACAACATCCAATAACTAATTTTCTCTTCATATTGCTTCTGGAATCAAGAGTCTCTTTCTCAAGAGTAGCAAGCCTCGTGTACAACGATCATTCTAGAGCTTCATAAGATTAAAAAGCTCCCCCTAACCAAATAGAATACAAATTTTCCTGATAAGCATAAGCAGTATAACAGCAGCTACATGAGCAAATATATTCACACTTAAGAGCGCTACCATCTGGGTAACTAGAACCCCAACCGACAACCGGTCGTCTTTTATCAGGCAATTACTCATAAGATTCAATAACTCTCAAGAAGGTCTGGCCCTCGACGTGCATCCATTGACGCTAATTTACAGTTAAGGAATCAGACTCTGCAGAAAGATAAACTTCAGGCTCTTTTTTCCAATTTCAGTTTAAAGCCCTGTAGAAAGATAAAATTCAGACTTCTCAGGTATTGCATTGATTTTCCAGGCTAGTAACAGTTACATAACTTCGTGGCTATCAGCGTTGGGAGAGTTATCCACCCGATAAATATAAGAGAGGGTGCGATCAGGTAGATAATAACAACCTGGAATTTGAAAATATTCAGCAAAATATTAATCACGGGGAGGGAACTACCTGATTATTTAAGCATATAATTAAATATTCAATCAACTACGTAACAAGAAAAGGGGATATTTATTCTTAATAATAGATAGATGAAGCATTTGAATTCATATCAAACTCTCATTGCTACTGTGGACTATATAAAAACATATCCCTCTTTCAGGACTCACTTTTCGTGGAAGGGAGTAGGGGTTTACAGAGTCGCATAGCATCATTGAAGGTATTAGTTAGCTTGTTTTTTTCCCTTCTACCCTAATTTCATAGTTTGGTATTGATTTTCATGGCGGGCAGGAATTTTTATGCAGAATCGACGTCCCTGGGTGGAGAAGTAAGGTATGTGTTCATACTTAACCTCTATTACTTTCAGAAGCATAATGATGTTGTTATTTTATTAGAATACCAAATGCAACTTTCATAGATTACCAAGCCATTATAATTCTTATGCCATAGGTTTTCGGGAAGAAGAAAAATGTATTAGTTTTTGAAAATACTTAAATATAACAAACTCCAAACAAAGAAGCATTCTTAGGCTTTTAAAATCATCAACTGACATTCGAAGTGCTGCTAGTCATTCGTTAAATACTCTATCATCGAGCTTTCAATTCCACTACCTAAGAAGCAAATTGGCTATGAAATCAAAATCCCAGAAAGAGTCATGGAAATCATTAAGGTTATCATCTATTGCTTGTTCAGCCTATATTCTAAGTCATTAAATCATCAGGACACACTCTAAGAAAATGCTACTCCGTCATGAAATTCTTACCTGGAGAAAATAGTTCTCTTCTGTCTATCTCAGACAAAGACAAAGCTCTCCGCGGCATACCCGTCGATCCTCTACGTTCAACAATCTTGTAGGCTCTCCAGGATACGAGACCTGCACTCTAGCAGCCTCCCGCTCACAATCAACTACTGCCGGAGCTGTGATTATTAAGTGTCAAATTCCCCTGGACAGATTTGCATAGCAAATAAGACACAATGAGTTATAAACTTATAACACAGCTGGTCATTCAGTCAGCAATGCAGGCAAATATTTAACATCGTGGCTTCAAATTCATGTGCCCAATGCAGGAAGAAAGAAGAAATTCTGAGATATTCTACTTGCTGAACAATAAGCTAAACTAAACTTTCACAATAATCAACCAGGATGCATTGAATTAAACCTCTCTATCAAGATCCAGAAATGGTTTTATCAAATATATTTTCTAGTAAGTAGTAACCAAATCTCACAGCTTTAGCATCAATCAACTACATGACCTATAATGCATATGCAAAGTACAATAGCCGTCAATAACAGAACTATGTACGATTATGAATTGAGCAGCTTGCATATATCAAAACAGCAGTATCACCACACCGGCACACCCACACTCAAGACTACACATTGCAGAATATTTCTACCACACCTTTGAAAAGATTTTATCAAGATCTTGCAATGGTTCTGTACGTTGGAAAAAATAGACCAAATACTCCAACATATTCTGTGTGTATTCCCTGTATTGCCTGCAAATAAGAATCGAAACTATGAGAAATCATGGAAACCCAACATTTTAGAACACTACACATGTCGATTGAGCTGGCCATAACAATTAATTGGCCATGTAGACACAATCAGATAACGAGAACCAAAGAGAAATTACCTGGTCAACTTGAGTTTCCGATCAATTTTCTGTGGTTGACTGAAAAGATTGAGATAAGTTGAGTACTCAATGTGCGAGTCCTCGGATTCTTTTTTACCACTACGGGGCATCCCAAACTTTGCATTGATGTACTGGTTGTATAGTTCATGCAAGTCAAGATATTTCCCATGGGCTTCCTGAAATGTGAATTTTGATAATCCAAAGTGCAAATGAGAGCCAAAATCAAAATAAACAACCGAAAACTTTAAGAGAAACCAGATGTTAACCTATTATAATGAAACAGATTGACAATTGACATAATCATAGCCAAACATTCTGACTGCTAAGGTTCGCAACCAGAAGACTCCTTGTCCTGAACACTCTATGGACCCTAATATACAGGTACTGATTCACAACAATTCAATGCCTAAAAAGGGTCAGCAACTTGGCCTAATAAAGACACACTGAATGCTCAACTCAAAACCTTACTGTGGTACGAGCTGAAACCTAAATGAAGTAGGGATGAAGCTAAAGGACAGGAAAGACAGTCATGTAACAATAGCTCAAAATAAGGCTAACTAGTACATACAATTCAAAGTAAGGCATCATGCCCTTTTTTTCTAGCATAAGGTATGGAAGTGGGAAGAGAGAGAGAAAGAGAGAGTTACCTCGCCAGTAAACTCAATGACAGGTTCTTCTTTGAACAGTGCCTCGTACTGCTCCTCAACATCCACAACATGGGCTGCCGGATGCCTTCTATGGTATTCACGAATCTAACAACCAGACAATTTCAAACAACAAGATTCATTAGCCTTCAATTCCGAGCTTCCACTGCAATTCGAATATCAACATGTCATCATCAATCTAGATAATAAAACCTAAACTATGTTCTTATTCCATGTTAAGAAAGCAGATGGTTCAGTACATTACCTCTTTCAGTCTATCATAAAATGCACTAAACACATTAGTTCCACTAGCCATCTGGCCTCCCAGGGCAGCAATCTCGTCCTTCCTAGCGTGATCCTTATCTTCGTATATATCAACCTGAACTAGCCATAAGCAATTACATTCAATCTATCCTTATCTTCGTATATATCATGCAATAGGACACATACACAGGGGTTAAGTGTACAATCCTTCTGAATTGTTATTGGCTTGTTGTATCCCAAATCTGAAGCTCAATAATTTTTGGCCTTAATAAAAATGTTAACTAAACTCCCGCCTCATCTAGATCAACAACCAGACCAAGAGAAAGAAGAAATAAGCGCGCAACAAGCAATAACAAATCACACTTCACTTATAGAGGGAGCCACTTCTAATAAGGGCATTAATTTAGATGGTTCAAATGGAGCCACAACCGAACACAATAAAGGGCATGTAAAGCGGATTGTAGATTATTAGCATGTATTGTAGATGGTTCAAACGGAAGTGAACTGTTTGAAAGTTCATACAAAGTAAATATCAAACCAAGTAAAATCGTTAATTGATACCAGAAGTATGGATCCAGATCACCATAGTTGGTCCTCTAAAATGCTTTAAATTTCCACTTTACTCCTTTGAGCTTCATGTAAAGTAATATTAAAAAGGTGATCAGTGATAATTTTAGAAATTAACAATTTTTACGTCTATAAAAATTTCAATGCCATTGCGAGCTTAAGCAGCAGAATTCAATCGACTTGAGCGAATTCAAGTGCATTTGCATAAGGATCACATGTCAAGATTACAGGCCTACCGGACCGGTTAAGTGTGTAGGGATGTTCTGCACGAAAATACACTAACCTGACCTCAGTCCACAAGCCACCACAATCAATAATTAAATAACACATAGAAAGGAAACTTTAACCATGAAACCACACAAAGAAAAGCCAACAGATTCACCTAACAAGCTTTACCTGCTGACATAATGGCTAATACAGGCAAATTACTTTCTTACTTAGTTAGCACTGAGCATGAAAGGCACTCGTAAGTTTCTAGTGCAATGCACCTTGGAGTTGAACTCAACAATCGTGGCTTCCATCATATGCACCTTGGAGTTTTTCGTAGTTTGGACTTAGTAAGGAAGTCTTACCTCCCCGGTGCTTTCAGCCCGAACCAACCTTTCCTTGTTGGCTGGTTTTCAGTAGTCGGCCTTGGTAGTCCTTTTAGCTCGCTTTCTGTTCCCATACTTGTAATTTGGAGCAGCCAAGAAATACCAAACTGCCTCCTCTGTATCGACCTCTGTAGATGGTTGCCATGCCCACATCAAACAACAATATATATATTACATCTCATCATTACTCAATATATTGTTCATTTAGCTACATCTGCTTCATGTATAAATACCATCTCAATTTGGTTACTGGTGTTTGATCATATACTCAAGAATTACTTGGTAGCTCCCAAGGTTCGAACTTGTTAACATTAACTTCGGCAATGCAGCGAACTTCATCATCACGGCCCAACATCTTCTACTTCAAATAGTAATTCACCAGTTATTCTTCAGATGGGTGGAACCTGCATCCAACCATCTCCTCATTGTCGCCTGCTGCTGATCCTGCACTCCACATTTACCTTTAGTTAGCTCTGTTTTTCTAGTAACTATCTTATCCCTGGAAAATTACTCCACAATTGCCTGCAATTTACTCTGTTTGGTAAGTTTAAAAAGGGGATCACAACTTCACAAGGACTTGATTGTGACATAATTGTGCTTCGTTACTTAGCACTAAGCATGAAAGCCAAATTACTTCAGCCACTATGATTTATAGACTAACACCAGCACTAAACTAGTACATTAAACACATCAACCAACAATAATTGCCAGAACCCGGTTCTATTAAATTTGCATCTGACATACAGATAATTGGAAAGCCTAGTGTAAAGGAGCTGAGGTCTTATATATCATAATTTGTACTCAAACAAAGGAGAGTTTAAATAGAAATGTTGTCATCCGTATGTGAAATACCCAAAGCAGGCAAGCAATAAAATCTTTCTAGTAAGGCAGGAGGGAAACCCAACCATAAACTGCAATATCATGAGGCAGGGGGGAAATCTAACCATAAGTAACAACCCTATTACCAACCTAAATCTTTTAACACACATTTTTTTACAATTACAGGTAACAATGTTGGACGTTCTATTTGGTAAGGACTTTAGTGGTATTCTTGATGATGATCACCCATTTCAACGCTTTCCCATTCAGTTTGTAGTGGAGGCCCCTCAACAATCCAATGAGTGAGTTACCATCGTGTGCTTCATATAATGATTCGGTTTCACGCTACAACGATAGTGATAATAACTACAATCTATAATGCCATTTTTCATTGGACAGCGATGATTCTGGTACGTTTGTTGTGAAGTTGATGAAAGGTGCAACATCGCTAGACAAGGCGGCAAGAGATATGAGAAAAGAGGTAGCTATCATTTAAGAAACCCGTCGGTATATCATCGTTAGAGAAATTTGTGGTGCAATCTAATTGACTATTTGAACTTATAGTTCCACAGTGAAGACGAACGACTGAATTTAGTACTTGAATTGGTGAAGTGGGAGTTCAACAAGAAGAAGGACGAGATCGAGGAAGCGGCAAAAAAACATGTCGCGACTAAAAAGGCTGCACAAACCAAGGGCAAACCAAGGGCTTCGAAAGGACGCAAAGGAAAAAAGTGAACTGTTGCTAATCACTAGTCCTCTTATGTTGTCTTTCCATTAATCTCTTTTGGCTTCGATGAGTTGATTTCGGTTTACGATGATGGATTCTGTATTGGCTTATTTTGAACACTTTGAGATCAACAAATCTGGTTTTGTTCTATTATGGATAGATTAATAATTTCATTAGAAATTTTGATTTTTCTTTTCATAATTGGGGGTATTTATCATTTGGCATAAATAATTTGTTTCAAATTTGTATTGTGAGACCGAAGTTTTGGCTCCAACATTCTGGCGCCTTAATTTTGCTATGCCAAGTAATCAGCTAATCGACCTAATCCCTAGTTTTCCAATGGAACGCCCCAACCCCACCGGCAAAATCCATTCTTCGATCAAGGACGCAGAAGACAGATTAGAATCTCGCCCCGTCGCTATGCTTGCTCGGAAGGCCAATCGAGGATGCAGATCAGAATCCCGCCGCCATGCTTGCTCGGTGCGCCGACAGGGTTCAATCGTCTCTACTGATGGCGAGCGATGGTGAGGAGGAAGAAGGAACCGCTCGGTCCGTCCTGTCGCCGCCACTCGGCTGTTCCCTTGCCCTAACGTCCTTCGTTGTCTTCCCACGCCGCTCTGCAATGAACGAATTCATCACGACGGCTGATGCATCGGCCAGATTCGGATCAGCCACACCGCAACCTTCCATTATCCCTTCCAACGTCCCTCTCATCTCCGCCTTCCTCGCATTAGCTATCGCCCAGTTTCTCAAGCCCTTCACCGTCTGGTACTACTCTCTGTCCCCTTTATCTTCGTTCTTCCGTTTTTTTTCTTTTCCTTTCTGGTTACTATTGGTATTCTATTAAGCTTAGTGCTATCAATTTGTATTTTTTAGCTTCTAAGTGAAATTTGGGAAATCCCTTTTCCTATTCTTTGCTGCCGATGTACAAAGCTCGCTTTTATTAGCAGCGTGAATTGGTGAGGGGAAGCAGATGAAGCTTCAGGGAAGAAAGCTTTTCCCTTGTAAGTTTTAACCCATGTGGTGATGAGTTAACGAGAGTTCCTAGATGAAAGGAAGTGGTGGATAGTGAACTACAGAATGCTAGTTCTTAGAATTGGTCGGTGAATATGGGGCTGGTGGGGTTTAGCTCCTACGCAATACACATATTGAAATGAGAGCGTGCATATCTTTCTTGCTAGGAGTTGTGATTAGTGTTGTAAGGAAGAAGCAATTGAAAACTGTTTCACTATCTTCCTTTTGCCCATTGATGATTGTGGATAATGCACTGGATTCAAAACCCTTTCATGTTGCAAGTCATTGAGATATATGGTTATTTGAGGTAGTGATGAATGTTGCATTGGCTTCTCAGCTGTATAAAAGTTGAATGTATTCGATTAATCCTCTTCTGCTCTAAAAATCATGAAGGTTCAAGGAGAGAAGATGGGATTCTAAAAGGATGCTTGGGTCTGGTGGAATGCCCTCCTCACATTCAGCAACAGTGACAGCGCTGGCTGTGGCTATTGCACTGGAGGAAGGAACTGGGGCCCCGATTTTTGCTGTCGCACTGGTTTTGGCTTGTGTTGTATGTACTCATTATCCAGGTCTTCTTCATTCTTCCAAGTTTCAATGTTTGTACACATTGAAGTTGATGAAAATGTTGCGAACATGAGGCTTCGTAGTACAAATCAGGGTGCTTGTGTTATTCAATGGCAAGTTAATTCCTAAGCTAATAGGCTACACTGGTGTAGAGTGAAATCTCATGATCAGCATTGCATTGCATGCATAGGTCACTGCTAGATCTTAGTTTCTTGTTCTACATTTTCTACCTTGTTTAAATCTTCAATTTTTCCTCCCAGTACGTGTTTGTTTGTAGTAGAGACATTAAGCTGCCATTGTGGTCTTTTAGTGATTGGGGGTCATGCTTGTCCATTTGTACGGTTGTGTCCCGGATGTTATATGGGTCCAAAGCTTCCTGTAACCATTTTGATGAATGGTTTTGCAGGTTATGTATGACGCTACTGGTGTTAGACTTCATGCTGGTCGTCAGGCTGAGGTGAGATAAATTTTTGAAGTTTCTGGACATACTGTTCTACCAAAAATCAGAAGAATATGCGAGTTTGATGGCAGTTGTGTGCAACTGAGCATATTAATTTACTTTCATATCATGGTATCTGGTTAGGGATATCTATCATGCTACGAGTGATAATTTTCTCGGGTTGTGAATTTAGTTGGGTCTTGCTACGACTGGATGCTTCCTGTATGTATAGGATATGAGTATTTTAGTTATTACTTTATTAGCAGGTTAAAACAACCCTTTTGTTCCATTTATTAGTGCATTTGGCCCTTCCACAGTCAGATGCTATACTGAATTCTCTCCAAATTGTTATTGGTTATTTATTCAGATCGCAAGATGTTCATTTTGCAACCCGCCGCGCAGCGCGGGCTTTCCGAACTAGTAGGATCAAAAGAAGCTGAGGAAGAAAACATAACTCCTAGGGTACTGCCACTGTATGCCATGACACCCTCCACGGTGTCGGTACCAATGCAAACAGCCATGACTCCAGCAGCGCCAGTTCATTTTGGTGGTTTCAAGTCAGCGATTGAAGAGACAGTTGCTGAAGAAATTGACTACTCATTTGAAGAGAGGAGAGCTGGGTTCGTTCTTCCTCACACAGCACATGTGAAGTCACTGATTCCAGTTTGATTTAAAATTAGGTTCTCTTTTACATCATTTTTAGGTAGTCAAAACTTGGCTTTATCTGCCTTTATAGACTTGCTTGGAGTGGAAGTCAAGATTGTAATTGGTTTCTGGATAGTGTATACTAGTCCACAAGAAATGTGGACAAGGACCAGACTCTGTGGTCTGTGGAAATGCAAGTTTACTTCAATGCTAGTTGAATCTGTTGTTTCAAGAAGAGAATTAACATAGGATTTAAACCGAAGTACATTTCAGCGTATTTCCAATTTGATTCAAATATTTATTCGATCTACTTGAATATGATAGGAATAAAACATTCACCCACCAACCCCTAAATCCTATTTACATCTTTCCTTTTCTTCCCCCACAAATTTTAAGACATGGCTTCCACCACCTACTTCAACAAAAGACTCAAATTAGGTGCATTAACACCACAAAAAAAGAAAAAAAAAGAAAAGAGGAATTCAACAAAATGGCTACACATCAGTTCCTCGAAGAAGACTCTGCAACACCCACATCTTCAATCACCCGCCTTTCAACAATCTCATATTCTTCTTCTTCTTCAACCGTCATCTTCCCTTTATCATTCCCGTCGCCACCACTCAACCTCTCCACCCACAGTCCATAAACCATACTCAACCGGATAGTTCGTCCCCACCACACCATCCACATAGTCAGCAAACACCTTGAGTATCGGCGACACTTTCCCCAGCTGCTGCTGAATCAATAACTTATGGGATACTAACTGCTCCGTAGACGTGATGTGGCACCAAGGAAATATTAATAGAAAGTAACTGAGTTTACAATCTCGCATTTCTTCTTTCACCAAGCTTGGTAACCTTGACCTGTATAAAGAAATTATATCGAGTGTTTTAGGCTCTATACTGACAAAAGTTTCAATCAGGATCTGCAGCCACATACATATCCGGAGATAAGTTTTTCACTGCTTTACAATAAAATCTAAGAACATACCTATTAATCACTAAGTTGCTGATCATATGAAAGTCTAATATTCTCAGCTTAATATTCCCAGCTTGTAGACGCATGAGCTCCTGCACATTAACAACAAATCGGGTGATTTTACTTCATAAGTAGAATCAATCGTTACAAAATGAAACTAAATAGATATAGTTCCATACCTGTATCTCCATGATCTTTTTGTGGACATGTGCGAACATCATGTCCTTCATTAGTGCAATGACTACAACGTCTTTTGGTTGGCTGGGTTTAGTGATGGCAATGGGGCGGGGCGGGGCGGGGCGGGTAACTCAATACCCATGCCCCGCCCCACGCTAGTACGGGTCGGGTCGGGTAATACCCGCGCGGGAACGGGGCGGGGCGCGTCGACCCACTCTTACATGTTATTTGAGAAAAATACACGCACAATTTTACTTTTTATGATAAAACGAAGGGGAAAATACTTGATGAATGAATAATAGTGATGATATAATAAGTAATTGAGTCTATTTAGTTGAAAGATCAAATCTAAATAGTTGAATAAAAGTCAAAATAGGATATATATATATATATATATATATATATATATATATGAATGGATGGGGTAAAAAATTGACATAGAACGGGGTAAGAATGGGGCGGGGCGGGGCATGGCGGGTCGGAAGTTGATACCCATGCCCCGCCCCACACTAATGCGGGTCAGGTAATACCCGCCCGGCCGCCCCATCGCTGGTCAGGTCGGGTATTACCCGGCGGGGCGGGTTCAAATTGCCATCCCTAGCTGGGTTGATGATTCACTCTTACGTCCTTTTGTTTTCACAACATGGGGATGTTTAATCCTAATACTTGGTGTTCTTTCTGCTGTTTTCTCCATGGGTTCCAATCCGCCATTCTTTCGCCAAATTTCCTCGGCCAACACACTCAACCTTTCGATTTCCTGCTTCACCAGCTTGTATCCTTCCTCCGTTTTTTATGCATACCGACACAGCTTGCCAAAGCTTCCATTTAGATTACCAGATCTCACCATAGCATGTAACTCTTCTTTTTGCAGCTCTGGGTGGACTGATTGCACATGACACTCTTTCTTAGCATCCTTGGACCATCGTTTCACCACCAAAGAAGATGGAACAACTGACATGTTATTAACTTTCATCACAAAAAAAAACAATGACTGCATGGAATGCCTTTGCTCTCGAGAAGCTGACAAGAACACTCGATTCTCCTATTTGCTGGGTAGTAAACCACAATCCAAGAAGCATTAATGTTCGAATATTTGCTCACCTCATAAATGTGCTTCTCCCCATTCACCCTAGTCGACACACAATATAGCAATGGCTCCTCCTTAATCCTCTTCCGCACTTTAAAGAACATTTTGCGAGTATAAATTCTACCAAAGTGTTCCTCAATACTCCGAAGATGTGTATCACACACAGGGAAGGTATCAACACTCACAAAATCTTCCTTTGCCTCCTTGTTTCTCAACCTTCGTAGACCTCTATCGAATTGTAGGAATAACTCATACAGTTTCAATTTCCTATCCAAAAAACGATTCAAATAAGAGTTCATCCCTTCAACACGTTGTGAACTCTTCATTCCAGCAGTGAACGTGCCAAAGAAAAATGCTTGAGCCCATTTATGTCGCTTCTCATACAATTCAGACAACCATTCATTGCTGCCTAACTGGAACTCTTCCATACCTTTCCTCCATACCTCCTCAAATTCATCAACCGAGTCAATCCGTTTTAACAATCTGTCAAATACTTTCAGAAACTCCTTTGGACTAACATTCGATTCTCATTCCTTCTCAAGTGCCAGCAACAAATCCTATGAGCAGCACCAGGGATCAACTCCTTAATGGCCCTCTTCATTGACGTACACCCATCGGTAATCACAACACTTGGGTGCTTACCTTTCATACATAAGAGAAAAGTTTTAATTACCCAATTGTAGCTCTCTACAGTTTCGTTGGGTAACAAAGCACACCCAAATACTGTAGTTGCGTGATGGTGATTCACCCCAACAAATACGACAAGAGGCATCTTGTATGCGTTTGCTTATAAGTTGAATAAAAAACTAACACATCACCAAAGCAAGAGTAATCAAACCGGCAGGTGGAGTCGGCCCAAAACAAATGTTTTAGTCTGTTATCCTCATCGAGTGTGAACTTGCAGAAGAGTTCTGAATCAATTTCATACTTAGCACGTAAGTATGCTAATGCAGACTCTGCATCACTATGCACTTCAAAATTCTTACCTCCATCCACGAAATTGTACAAATCCTTGAGAGTAAAACTGACGTTGTCATAGCCACCTACTTCATTTACCCTCAAATCCATTATCTGACTCGGTTTCACACCCACCCCTCAAAGTGACTCTACTTGTGCCTTATCAACCTCCTTCAGTGACCGATGAGACCTTAAGAACTGCACTTGTTCAGGTCCAACTCTATCATGATTATGCTCGGAAACAAACTCCTCTACCTTGTACTTCCCATCTTTTTTATCAAATTTCACCTTGAACGAAGCAAGACATCCGAATCTAGTCACCGCCTTTGCTTCCCTCTTCATATTTTCTCTATTCACATTTTCTTCAGTTCTGACTCCTTTTTTACAACAAACCCATTTTCGTGATGTCCATTTCCCATATTTGTTAACCTTTCTGTCCCTTTTTCTGACACCAAACCCCATATACTTGTTGTAAAAGTTTTCAGCTTCATCAACAGAATCAAATGTTACCTCCTTCAAATCATGAAACCCCCAATCCTCTATGTTTACAGGAACATTAACGTTCAAGAGCGACATCCCCGTATTTTCACGGGAATGACCAGTACTTTGACTTTGGGCAGCTGTATTAACATTCTCAGTAAGTATGTCATTCTGAATATCATCTCCATGAGCTAAAGAGAGTTCTTCTGATCCTGCATACCAAGTTCACTTATTACTTCACTTTAAAACAATAATGTAATCCTGATATATTGTATAGAGATGCACACCTTCCATTCAGGTTGCACTGTGTTCACTTTATCGCCTAGCCTCTCTATTTCAAAAAAACCTTCAAGGATAAACACTACCCTTACCACATGTCAAAGATTACAAAAACATCATATGAACCGTCATTACCAAGCTTACAAATTGATAGGCTACTTCATAGAAAAGTATTGCATCCCTAGCAGCACAATACAATTGATTTGAGTTTTGGAGATGACCAGCAAACATCCTCAAACATGATTGAACAACCATTAAATAAAACAGCCTAGATACTCCGACTGCAAGAATGACTCCATGTTTCTGCCTCTCAGGGAACTAACATGCATTACCTACCCAGGAACAACACTACTGACCGCTCCTGATTCATTCAACTTCTCCAATCACTACTACTCTTCTATACTACTTGGAAGTGGAAATCACATCTAGACGTTCCTTAGTTTCTTCCCAGCAGGGTTTGATGGAAGGTTATCATGACTAAAAAACGTGGAGATTCTTGGTAATGAAAGCAATTATGAGATTCTGTCACTAACATCAAGCATATTAGCATCTCTAGTTGTCCTCTCGTCTCTCAAACTCATGGACTTCAGCAAACTATCGGGATCAACTTAACTAGTAGGTTTATGCGGAATCACTTGTCTCCTTCAGTTCAAGGGTTTAATGGACTTCAGCGAAATCTATGAATCATCATAAACATCACGTTGGTAACTAGTTTATCCTGGTTAAATGGTCTACATAAGCCTGAAACTGAACATGTTTCACTAATCACAACCATATCCGTCATTTAGTCAAAACACACTCACCCATTTAACAACTGTTTACCACTAAACTGAGGTGAGGATTTCCAGCATAAACTTACATACAAAACATTAACAATGACAAACACAATGAGACTTCATTACCGAAGATGGAGTTCAGTAGAGTGCTTACTGTGGAATGTGGTTGGATGAGTCAAATTGGGGATAGAAACCTCCAAGCTTTCCGAGTAAAGGTCCTTGGTGTATCCAACTCGGCTGTGTATGCTTAATGTCCCACCGAGTCACCAACGACACTAACCCAACCGAGATATTTCCTTCCTAGCTACGGCGCGATCCGCTGCCTGTCTCCCACAAAGTAAAGTATCTCCCTCCCTCTTCCTCTATGGCAAGCAAAGAAGAACATAAATCAGTTGCGAAATTAAAACCCCAATTATAGGGATCCTAGTGTTGGACGAATGAACGGTGGCTTGTGAAAATTCAATCATCCATCATAAAGGCAATGATAGAGATCTATAAACCAGGATATATTGGGTTTTGAATTATGTAGGGAAATAAGATACAATAATCTAGTGCTTTTCTGTTCAAGCAAGCCTCGAAATTCAGTTCATATGGATAAATGACTTGCTGCAATTTCACTAATGAAGATTGAAAGATGATGACTCGGTATTTGCACATGTTTTCCCCTTGTTTCTTGATTGTTTGAGCTTGAATTATTGCGTCTTTGTCCTATTTTATGCTAGGTTGTGTTCTTTTGTCACAATTCAGGTCCTAGCACATAAAGTGAAGCATAGGCGCAAGTTTCAAATCAATCAGAGATCAATTGACGATTCGGGAGAAGAAACTCGGGCATGACCTGAAGAAGAATGGATTTCTACCTCACTTTATGGACAAAGAATCATGCAAGCTTGTCATGAAAAGAAAGAGGACGAGACTACAAGCGTCTGGGATCAAACAGGGACTGATTCGGAGTTCGGACGAGGGAGAAACGAAGCATTAAACAGAGGCTGAGCAAGCCACACGGGCATCCTGGAACTCCACACGGCCGTGTGGGTTGTGGCCGTGTGGAAATCACCGAGCCTTCAAACGGGCAGCTGGGAAAGCCACACGGCCGTGTGGCCTGGCCGCGTGATCGGGAATTTCTTTTTAAAGCTCGATTTTCAGCCAAAGGAAAGGGGAGAGCTGGGTTTTTGGTTCCCAAACACCCAAGGGACGAACCCTAGAGAGAGAGAGCGACTTGGGAACATTCTTGGAGCTATTTTGGAGGATTTCTTCGCCATTGGAGCTCGGGAATCAAGCTTGGAGATGGAGATTGAAGATCTAGATCAGATTTCTGCAGTCTCTCTCTTCTCTATGGAGTAACTTCCCTTCACTTAGGTTTTGAGGAACCCTAGTTCCATGTGTTAGGATCTTTCTTGTATGGAGTTTTTGATGCTATATTGTTTGATTATAATCGATTGAGGCATGATTTATTGAGTCAATTGAATCTTGATCAAATTCTCTTGATTTCTGCTTTAACCTATGATAGATAGAATCTGATTAGGTTAAGAGAGCTTCCTTGATTGATGGTGGTGAATTGGTTATACGAGAGTTAGTCAATCTACTGCTTTGTACTGGAATCCAATTTCGGTAGTGGAGTTCTGTGTTCATAGCCTCAGCTTTCTATCCCGGTGAAGGTTAGTCGCCTGCCGGGTAGTTGGACTGAGAGGGCTTGGTCAGCTTAAGAGATTCCAAACTACTGTCGGATCTTCCGCAGTTTAATCAACAGTAGATCAACCAAAGGTAATTACAACTTGGACCTAATTGAGGAGATAGGGGGAATCATACCTAAGTGAGTTCACAACTTGTAATTAGTAGAGTAGTCAGTAGAGTAGTTTATAAATCAATCCTTAATCTAGTTTGCTAGATAATGAACTGAAGCTGAGTAATAGTAACTCTAGAGACCCGTGGATTCGATATTTATTACTTGTGCCACTATACTGCAGCCATTTCATTGGTTACACTTGGCCATTGTTAGGTGTTGTGTTTTAGCGTGTCAAAAGACCAATTACCAAAACCAAACCAAACAACATTATCAGGTACTGGAATCAGAATGTGAAAAACACCAACCAGAATGGGGAATAGCATACAGGCAAAACTGAGAAGTTGTTAGCCAACAGAAGATAAAGGAGGAAAGAACAGTACATAAGCAGAACAGGGACACATCGACCAATTCCCTGCTGCCCTGTTAACACAAGGAAAGCAAAAAATATTGCAAAACAAGGCTCCATTGCAGAATCCATGATATTACAGTTCAGAGGCAAAATGAAACTTAGCCAAATTCGGCAACAAAACGAATCGAATCATTGTTCTAGTACCAAAACACAAATGAATCGAATAACCAGGAGCGTTCGGATTCTTTAGGCAAAGTCACTAGACACTCAGGTTTCGAATATTCCAACAGGAGGGTGCAGACCGAGGGGACAGGGCATAGTGAGGAACTCTTCCCTTACGCGCGCGAGGGATTGTCGGTGTCGGCAGAGCAGTTCGACGCAGACAGAGGGCGTCCCTGTACTAGGGATTCGTCAGTTTTTGTTTCACAAAATGAATGCCAGAGGAGGAATATGGTGAAGGAGTTTATTGGAGGAGATGGAGTTCCGATCGGAGTGGGTGGAGTTCGCCGGAGCTGCTTTGTTTCTCGCCGAAGTAGTTTCGACCGAGAGAAGGAGATCGACTGCTCGACTTTCCCTTCGTTGCGTTTCCTTGGTTTCTGGAGGAAAAAAAATTAAAACTAAACAAAATAATATGGGAAAAGCACTGGGGAAAAAATTAACGGAAAGAATCCGTCCGTTTGGGTACGGCTTCGGTTCGGGCCAATTCCAATAGGTCAGTAGGCTTTGGGCTCAAATTAAATAAACCAGTCAGGACACGTCAGCGCCATGTGGCCCAATCAGAAACGGCGTCACCGGTGCCGCACTTTTTAGTGCGGCACTGTAGTATTGGCCCAATATTTGCCCTACGGTTATAAAAGAAAAGTTCAATTATGTATTACTCGCACAAGCCCAACATTCTTGTTTTACACTTAACCGCGTCAAAGTAGTCTGCGTAAAATTCCAAACAGAAACTGGCGGAACAGACTCCGGCGTATTTTTTAGGCTAACCGCCTCCGGCTTTGAATCCGTCAAAATTGTGATTTTACGTAAAATCCCAAATGGGGTTAAATCGGAATCATAAAATCGAATCGTAAAATCGTAGGATTTTAAAGTACATTTAGAAATGAGGACGGAATAATATTAGTAAGGAAAATCATGAATAACACAAAAGCACATAACACTTATAATGATAATTTTTTAATGTTAATGTTCCAATTTATCAAGGTTAATATTAAGAGGTGGTGAATCGATGATGATTAATACGTTGATGTGAAGTGATTATAGTCGATGGTGGTTAGTGTGAGAAAACTAGATTATGTTGGTGGAGGAGAAGAAAAAGATGCGTAATTTTACAAATTTTGGAGAAAATAAGTAAAATTGACTTAAAGATTTGAATCGTAAAATCGTAAGATTTTAAAGATTTTAATGATTTAAATCGTGAATAGTGTAGGATTTTAAAGTCCATAGATTTTATAGTAAAATCAGAATCGGAATAGGTAAGTAAAATCGTAAAACAGTAGGATTTTATGATTTCAATGGGGATTTTGACTACTCAACGCCTCTTTACAACAGTAATAATTTACCTACCGACTCGCCGTGATTGATCCCTCTATAAAACAGGTTTCATGGCTTTTTTCACTCCGACAGAGACGAGAAGAGTCCGAGCCTAGGGTTTCACCGTTCAAGTAAAGTTAGGGCTCCGGTTGCCGTGATGTCGCTATCTGTCTATTGTTGGCGCTTCTCTAGTCCGTTCTCCGGTGTGATGGATGTCATCGACGAACGATCCATGATGGTTTCCTAGCTCTGCGTGGTTAACTGGTACAAGTTTTATCATCTTTCTCCTTGTCGCCTCCCCTTCTTTTCAAATTTGCTTTGCATCTTGTGGTTTGAATTTCTGCACGTTTCCTTCTTTGTCAAAGGACTAATTCTCTTATTTGTCTCATGATCTCTATCGATCTTTGACTCAAAAATGGGCTTAGTGGGTGGAAAAGGGGTATCATAATCTCTCACTTTGTTGCTTCATCAACGTAAATTTGAACGGTTATTGATAAAATGTTTTGGCTGCTTTGTTCCAGAATCACAAGTTGGTTTGTTGTGTATGTACAATGCTAATTTGAGTGTGTCCTAGGATCTAATAGCGAGACTGCCTTGTTAGTTTGCTGATTTCTGTCTCATAAGAATACTTTAATTTGCCAAGTATGCTCCTTATAGTTTATCCGTTTGATCAGGGATAAACTAGGATTTCAAGTCGAGGGGTGGGGAGATTTTTTTTCAAACCAAATAATACTACAAAAATGTCAAATAAATTTATTATCATAAACGCACACGACGTATTTGAGATTAATGAAATCGCTCAAAATAGCATCTACGCTAATAGTATCGATTATATCTCGTTCAATATATTATTGGCAAAACCTCGAAAGTTTTGGCTATACAAGAAAATGAGAACATCTACGTCTGTTTCGTATTCTCGGCCGACATTTTTTGCGGCTTTTAATTATTAAAACCAATAAAATCTATAGTTACCTAAGTAACGTATGAAACTAAGAAGGATAAAAAGAAACAAAAAGGAAAATGGAACATCTACGCCTATTTCTAAATCCTAACTTAGCAACCCAATTTTCCCTTATGAATTTGTCTGCTCCCTTCTTTCTTTTGATCTTTTCCCTTTCGCAGGTCACCTTCTTTTCCAACAATGAGGCAATTAGCTATACATCTACTCCTAAATAAAGAATAACCCCAGTCAACTCCATCAAGAAATTGACTACTTTTACTTACTTTTAAATATTGGAGGGTGTTGTATTTGTTTGGTTGTATTTTGTAATTGGCCTTTTATACCCGTGAGAGCTGTCGAAGGGTATAAATAGTGATGGCCGAATTGCATCTGCTGTAACCCTAGCGGTAGCAACTACGAAACCTCTGCATAGTGATTTTTATCTCGAGAGCCATGCTCTCCGTGGATTAGTCTCGGTTCCCCGGGGATACCACGTAACTTCGTGTGTCGTTTACTTTCCGCAATCTCCTCCTTTACATGGTATCAGAGCTATACAATTCAGACCTCGCGTTTTGATCTATCATGGGTTCGAAGGATGAGTCATCTGGCGGCGACACACAGGTCGGCTCCTTGAGCACCGATGTCATTCCGATCAGCTCTCCTCTTTACCTTCACCCGTCTGAAAATCCTGCCCATATTTTTGGCAGCGAGTTATTGAATGATCTGAATTACGGTGAGTGGGTCAATGACCTCACCGAAACCCTCATTGCCAAGAACAAGCTCGCGTTTGTTGATGGCTCCCTTCCCCGCTCCCAGACCGGCTCTGCACGTCACCAGGAAGCTTGGGATCGTTGTGATGCCACCGTGAAAGGGTGGTTGAAGTCTGCAGTGACTCGCGAGGTGCGTAACAGCGTACGGATGGCGACCACTGCCCATGCCATCTGGCCCAATCTCCAACGCCGTTTTAGTCGCGGCTCAGCTCAACGGGCATATGAGCTTCGGCGCATGATTGCTTCCTTGCGCCAAGAGAATTTGTATGTTTCGGCATTCTATACGAAACTTCGTTCTTGGTGGGACGAAATGGACGCAGTTGGCGGTTTCCTCAATGTGCGTGTAGTGGTTGCTCTTGCAGTGGTTGTCGCTGCAATCTCCCAGCTCAATATCAAGCCAGACTTGAGACGGAACGACTGTTTGACTTCTTACTCGGCCTGGACGATGCTTATTTTGTCGTTCGGTCGCAAATCCTTAGCACCAAGCCAATTCCTATGCTCGCTGAGGCCTATCAGATCGTTTCGGCTGCGGAGCAGCATCGGTTGATCACTGGGGGGCGACGTCCGGTTGTTGAAACGGCGGCATTCCAGGTGCAGTCGGACAAGGAACCAAAAGAGGATCGTGACAAACCTCGCTGTTCGCATTGCAACAAGTTGGGACACCTGCGGGAGACTTGCTACAGACTCATTGGATTCCCGCCTGGTCACCCGCGTGCGCGACAAGGGGATGAGAAGAACACCAGTACGCGTCGTTCGAGGGCTGCTCATGTTGAGCCTGAAGCTCCTGCCGAGCGTGCGAGCCCTCTTCCTGGACTAACTGCAGCTCAATTTGCTCAGTTGAAGCTATTTTTGTCCACTTCGTCTCCTGAGACATCGTCTGAACCTTCGATAGCTCTCACGGGTATAAAAGGCCAATTACAAAATACTACCCAAACAAATACAACTAACAAAGACACCCTCCAATATTAAAATGTACCACTAAGGTATGATTATTTATTTGAAAGATTTGTACGCTAACTGTTTTATGGCCGGTTCTATATCGGTTATCCGATAAACCTTGCACTTCTCACTTATCTAGATCGCTGACCGGTCCGATTTTGACAACACTGTCTGGTGTGGAAGTCCCCCTTTGATTTCCATTACAAGAGTGCATATGAGAGAAATATTTGAATGAATACTCAATAATTGTTTTGTGTGCTTACCAGAAAACTATGGTTATTGTATTTATACCCTTAATATACATTTTGCACAATGTCTCCTTTCCTATTTTTCAGATTCTGTAGTCACTGGCGAGATGTTCAGTGGGAGGTATAGTGTTTACTATAATGCATGCGATTTTGTACCGATTCAACATTGTCCGAGTACGATATCTCACCAAAGGTCGATGGATCATCGTCTTCACGTGAGATCACCACATTTGAAAGAGACTTCGATATTAGTGGTGATGAGTTACAAAGCGTGATCATAGATGAACCTTTCCGTCTGGTCAACCCCAGACCAGCGACAATGTTGTTGTATATGCCTTGATTATTAAGTTCTACCTATTATGTCGTGCTCCTTTCTGCTTTAGAATACTTTTGTACTCGGTAGAATTGGTGGCTTTTGGGCTTGTTCTGTTTGCGAATATGATCTATGTTTATCAAAGCTAAAACAATTGCTCACAATCTCAGGTATGTCCATAGTTATGAGCTTTCATGCTTCCTTATGTTCTTAAAGCCTTCTCGAGCCAAACTATACATTATAAAAGAGCAATATACACTACAGGAAAATGCACCTTTCATCACGGTATTTCCCGTGACGAAACAGCCATTTCCCGTTACTGAAGGATTTAGTCACGGTATATTCCCGTGACAAGCATGTCCGTTATTGAATATCAATGATCACGGGAATTCCTGTGATATCTAATAAACAATAACGGGAATATTCCCATGACAAATGATCTATACTATCACGGTGATTCCCGTAACTAAGTATTTAACACGGGAACAATACCGTGATGAAAGTATAAACTAGCCACGGTATTTCCTGTGACAAATTGAGTTATTTCATATTTGGCACGGGATTTCGTCCAAAAGTCACGGAAATGCTAGGCCGGTGTCCATGCTAAAGTAATGGGTTTTGTCTCAACCATCACGGGAAACCCGTGATGTTAGTTCTTATTAGTAACAGTAAAATCTCGTTATAGATAGTTGCTGCTAGTCACGGGAATCCCGTGATGGATACTTTTCTCTAGTCACGGAAGAATTCTGTTATTGTTATTAAACATTTAGTCACGGGAAAGTTTCACAACTAGTCACAGGGAACACTGTAATTGATAGTAGCTAAAAGTAACCTGGATAACCTGCAATAGTTACGGATTGAAGCTTCGCTTGAAACAATTAAGAAGACTTATCAATATACATATCATTCACTCGTCAACGTTAGTTTACAATTAAGAAATCTATTCTTGAAGCATTTTACGGACATGGAACCTATCTAATCCATCATATCACAAAATACCAATGCTTCAACAAAATAAGCTAGAGTAGTTTCTAGGTTTCTTCAAAAACAAAATTGTCATTGCACTCGACAATGTGCAAGGTTGAACTACTCTCTTATGCTTCACCTTTCTTTCAGCCGCCCACCTTATATGTTGCACTTCTTAATTATAAAAGAGAAATTACAAAAATTAGCTTTGTTAAACAACACTACAAACATGTATAGAAAAACTAACATTAGAAATAACACATTTATTCATATACATACTAAAACAAATAATTCTTGAACCAATGAAAGGTAGCAACACTGTCAAACAACAACAAAACATCTCAATAAAAATTCATGAATTGATTGTTCTAAAATGCCTTCAAGCTGTAACATTCTCCAAAGAACGACCTAAACAACTCAATAAACAACCAAGAATGAAATGTCTGGAGCGGCTTTTAGAAGCATCAACACTCTCCAAAGAAGAACCAAATAACATCACAATAGATAGCCATGAATTTAGTGTTCTAGAAATAATTTCATAGGTAGCCACACTCTCCAAACAACAAAAACACAGCAGCTGAACAAACAGCTTGGAATTGAGTGTTTTGAAACTGATCTTATAGGCCAGCAAACTCATCCAAAGAACAAAAATACAACAACTCAACAAACAGCCAGGAATTCAGTTTTCTGAAACTAATTTCATAGGCAACCACACTCCAAACAACAAAATCACAGCAGCTCAACAAATAGTAGGAATTCATGTTCTAAAACTGATTTCATATGCAATCAAACTCTCCAAACAATAAAAAACTAGCAGCTAATAAAAGGATAAGAGTTCAGTGTTCTATATCCAAACAACAAAACACAGCAACTCAATAAGATTAGAATTTGGTGTTCTAATGTTGTCTAGAAAGCACTAGTTTACATACCTAATTTTGTCGATTTTGACTACTTTTGAACAACTCTTGCAACTTCTTCATTTCATCTTTCATATTGGCCATCTCTTCAGCTTGTTCAGAAACCGTATCTTTTAGTTCAGTGACAGTTTGTTGAAGAGCTTCCTTTTCTTCACTGATCTTCTTAATTGAGCTATCCCTTGCTTGCCTCATCAATTAAAATGGATTTGAAAGGAACATATGCTACTATCTCCTCATCAGGAAACATCATTCTGCCAAGAATCCCAAATCCACCATTCACCCACTGAACAATCAAATCTATAGCAAGAGGGGAATAAGAAAGGAGTGATAAAGTAATTGAACTAATTAGATAGGTCTTCCCTGCAAGCTGTATGATCAAAGTTCAGCATAAAGTAGAGAATGCACAATTCATTTGTGCTTGCCGCAAAACTCATGGGAATATCACTCCAAAAAAGCAAAGTCTTCCCTGTTAGAGAAATGAAAGTCTGTTTATATTTATACCTTGAGATACTAGCTCAACCCTAACTTGTCACCGCGAATCCAAGAGTCTTCGTTCTCTCCTGACCACCAGCAACCAAAACCCTACAAGTGCAAAGATTAATTAGCAGGAACACAACACCAACCATGTTATATTTTGATCAAAGTTAGCCATAAGGATAAGGTCAATAAGCAGACCTTACGTGTAAAGATGAGTCTCTTAAGTGATGGTGAGCAGTTGGATTAAATCGATAGAGGCAAGAAGATGATTTTTCAGCAGACAGAAAAGCAAAACTCAAATAGGGGATCGAGCAAACTGAAAAGAAAAAAAGAGTCAGTACCGAAGGAGAATATGACCATGGTTTTACTTCTCTAGACGAATATACAAATGGAAAGGGTGGCTAGGGGAGAAGAAGGCTGACATAACTGGAGATCAACAACTTAGTGGTCTATACTCTTGGATTCTCAACTTCCGGAGCTCGATTTGCTTGCATCCGAGGGGAATTCCATTTTATCGGCAAAGGGTTGCAAAATTGAGCTCGCTTTGCTTTCAATCTTTCCCCGAGTGACTGATTCGGATTTCACCCGGTCCACAGGATGAGTGAGGTGTCTTCCATTTTACCACTGATAGTCGATTGAGTTTGGGGAAGGAAGGTCGACGATGGGGGAAGGAAGCAGGAATACCGGCGACGGGGAAGGAACAAGGAGGTCGACGCGGTATGGTTTAATGGAGGAGCATTTTCAATCCTTCCCCTCCAGACTGATTCAAATTTCACTCGTTCCACAAAATGAGTGAGGTGTGTTCCATTTTACCGGTGATAGGAACGATTGAATGGAAGGAAGGAACGACTGCAATGGGGGACGAAATACCATCGATGGGAGAAGGAACCAAGGTGATGGAGTAAGGGATTCGGGCGATAAGGGAAGGAACGATGTCGATGGGGTAAGGAACACCGACGATGGGCAAGGAACAAGGAGGCTGGCGATGGGGAAGGAACAAAGAGGCGGGGAGTATCTGATTTCGAGCTAGGGACTTTGGTAAGCCAGAACGAGAAACCAACTGCACTTTTCTTTTTCTTTTAATTTTTAATGATTTTCGGTCTCATCCTTTTTTCATTGGCCAAAGAAAACTCCCGCTTTTCCCAATCTTTGGAGTGAAAACGAAAAAATGAGAGGGAAATGCATTTCGTTTACCGCCAAAGTATTCTGTCACGGGAAAGTCTCAGTCTATTATTACGGGCTGATAACCCATTACAATTTAAGATTGTCCAGCTCAATTAATTATGGGAATTATTCCCCGTGAGAACTGTTAAATCTTTAGCAATGGGAAAAATCCCGTAATTAAAATCCCGTGATGAAAGATCAATTTTCTTGTAGTGATACATATTTCATGAAAATGAATTCATGGTTACACCTAGTTCAGTTCTATATAGAGGTGGCAATTGGATCGGATTCGTGGATTCGTGGATTGGATTGGTGGATCAATGGATAAAATGGATTGGATCCAATGGATTGGTGGATTCATGGATTGGTAGATTGATCCATGAATCCAAATGACATCCAAGGCTTGGATCAAAATGTAATTTTTGAAAAGTTTAGGTACTAAAATGTCATGATGAAAAATTTAGTTACCAAAATATAATTTTCCAATGTTATTTTTCGTATAATAATATAAATTTTAGGTACCAAAATGTAAAATATAAAAAATATAGATACCAAATCGTAATTTGTCATTTGGATCCATGATTGATTCATGAATCCACCAATCCAATTGGATTTGGATCAAATGGATTGGATTTAAATGGATTGGATTAGGTGGATAATTTGGTGAATGGATTGGATTGGATTCATGGATTTGGATCCTAATTGCCACCTCTAGTTCTATAGGTTTGCAGCAAAGGGATAGGTACACCCTCTGCAGAATGGGAAGCTTGAAGGTTGCTGCTATTGCAATTGTGATCCTCTAATTAGGTATCACTATCATCATTCTCTTTCTCCTTTCCCCACTTGCCACATCAACATGTAGAACCTGGATGATATGATTGTCGCTTCAATTTGGCTGCCAAATTTCAACAAGCAAGTGGAAAAGTTTATGCCTATATGGCATTTGACTTATGAGAATATCATCAAACGCAGTTCAAGAGTTCCCTTCCAAAACTAATTTCCCATAATCATTTTCAGTTAAACCAAAGCTGTAATTTCACTGAAAAGAACACACAAGTTGTTAGATAGTCATTAATTGGGGGTTTATTTGTAATTTAGACGTTTTAAGTTATGTCGGCTATTTTGGAAATTATTGGGGTTAAATCGGTTAGGTTAAGTCTTTGGGTAGTTATAGGGAATTAGTTGGATTATATATATTCTTGTTAGGCCTAAGCTAGGGTTAAGCAATAACAACAGAATTATTCCCTAAACACACTCTCTCTCCCTCTCTCTAGCCGAGCCCCCTTCCTCTCCCTCTCTACCCGTCGGCCACCTTCCCGGTGACTGGGTTCCTCTTTCTCTAAACCCTAATTCCAATTCTACCTCACTCAAATCCCTAATTCTCCTACCAATCACAATCCCTAATCGCACACCTAAATCCGTGCTCTTTCTGTGGTATCAGAGCCTGGCTGGTGTGTCAATTCTCTGAAGAAACACTACAATCTGAAGATGTCAAACCTTACAAACAAACAGCAGCCGCCGCGCCAGAGCAAGGAGGTTGTGACGGTCAAGGATGTGACGATGAGCAAGTATGACGCGATGGCAACATCGTTGGAGATCCTGACGGAGGTTACGGTGAGGGCAGTTGAGGCCTCGAAGGGCTCGATCGGGGCAATCGAAGCCATGGGCGACCAGATCAAAGATTCCATCGAAGAGATGGGCAAGAGCGTGGCTGAAAACATCTGCGGAGCCCTAGCAGCGACGATGCAGGAGGTGCTAACCCAGGTTCTGAGGAACCGGGAGCCGGCGGCGATCACGGCCATGGGGATGGCGCCGGCAGCAGCAACCGCGGCGGGGTCGGCGGGCCAGGAGGGCGGCGACGCGGGAGCGGAGCGGACCGCGACGGTAGCGCGCCAGGAGGAGGAGGCGACGGGGGAGAAACCGCTGGGCGACGGAGGAGAGACCGCCGGGCGGCGGTGATGAGGCTGGGGCGACGCGGGTATTGGCCGCAACGGGCGGTGCGCCGAGGAGTTCGGCCGTGCCGCGCAGACGCGCCGGGGAGCAGGGGAATTTGGGCGCGAGGAGCGCGCCCGCGCCAGCATTCAGCGGACCGGGTTTGCTGCTGACGCCGATGGATCCGGCCCATGACAAGGTCCGGGGGAAGCAGAAGATGGTGGGGTACGAAGGAGAGCCGTGGCTGACTGGGCCCGACGGAGAAGAACCATGGCCGATTGGGCTAAGGGAGGAGGATGAGCTGAGCTTTGGGGACCCAGAGGGCTAGGTGGACCCGAGCCTAGAGGAGGCCAGATGGGGCTGGATCGTTGACTCGAAGTCGTGCCGAAACGGACCGGCCACTGGGCGGCCGACCGGACGGACCGGAACCGGTCGGACTGGGCCGAATAGAACCGGGTCGGGTCAACCACCGGCGGACAGCAGCTGGAGCGGCCCGGGTAGGGGTCTCGGCAGGGGCCAGGAGTACGGGTACCCCTAGTGGAGTACACCGCGAGCAGTGGGAGGTCGAGGTCGAGGCTGTCGGGACATTGGGCAAGGGTCTGGGACCAAGCCTGAGTACGGCGGGAACAACCAGGAGGTGACGGGCGACTGGCCCCATCTTCCCCAGCAGCGAGCCGTGGGAAGCCACTACCATCAGGGCCCGATGAATCGACCGCCACCACCGAACACAGGCAGGTATGAATACAGTAACCCTCTGTATGAGACTGAAGAGGAATTGGTATTTAGAGCTAAACCGCCAGTGATAGAGTTTCCCAAGTTCGACGGCTCGGGAGATGTGGGTTTGTGGTTGTATGCAGCTGAGAGGTGGTTCAGGCACCACCCGATCCGAGAAAAGCGGAAGGCGCACCTAGCATCCTTTTATCTTGAAGGAGATGTCCTCCAGTGGTGGGAATGGACCGAGAGAGCTTATGCAGCGGCAGGTGAGATCATATCATGGCCCAGGTTTCAGGATGAGCTGCGCTATCAGTTTGGCAAGGCGGAGGGATGGGCTCTGGAACAGCTGGCCAAGCTCAGACAGACAGGGTCGGTAGCCAAGTATCGCGCTGAGTTCCTTAAGCTGGGAAACTAGTGCAAGGAAATGATGGAGGAGACTCTAGTGGGATTGTGTATGGCGGGACTCCGTCCGGAGATGGCAACCGCCGTTAAGGTTTTCGAACCTGACTTTCTTCGAGTTGCCTTCAGGATTGCAGGGCGCAAGGAAGAGGAGTTGGCTAGTTGGAGGACGTCGGCTGGGCGTATCCAGAAGGCCAGTGGAGGAATGGGAGTAGAAGCTGGTATCATGCCGCCGCCGAGAAATGCAAGCCCGGCGGCCACTGGAGCATCATCGGGAAACATGTTCCAGTCGAGGCTGCCACCAAAGGGGTTTGTCCGGCTAACTCATGCGGAAATGGAACAGAAGCGCAGAGACGGTCGTTTCTTCAACTGCGATGAAAGGTATACGGTGGGACATCAATGCACCAAGGGACATCTAATGCTGCTTGTCGGAAACTGGGAAGATGAAGGGGAGGAGATCGAGGCGCGAGAAGCGGAAGAGAAGAAGGAAGAGAAGAAAGAAGTTCTACCTTGAGGGCAAGGTGGGTTTCAAGGGGGATGGGATGTTAGATAGTCATTAATTGGGGGTTTATTTGTTATTTAGACGTTTTATGTTATGTCGGCTATTTCGGGAATTATTGGGGTTAAATTGGTTAGGTTAAGTCTTTGGGTAGTTATAGGGAATTAGTCGGATTATATATATTCTGTGTTAGGCCTAAGTTAGGGTTAAGCAATAACAACATAATTATTCCCTAAACACACTCTCTCTCCCTCTCTCTAGCCGAGCCCCCTTCCTCTCCCTCTCTACCCGTCGGCCACCTTCCCGGTGACCGGGTTCCTCTTTTTCTCAACCCTAATTCCAATTCTACCTCACCCAAATTCCTAATTCTCCTACCAATTACAATCCCTAATCGCACATCTAGATCCGTGCTCTTTCACAAGTACAGACTAACCACGCCATATAACATGCTACGAAGCTGAGAATAGCTTCAGATATCATTTAACATTCACAAGAGATAGTTTCAGACCACCACTAGTCTGTAACGAGGGAAAGCATGCCAATCATCCACTATAAAGTCCAAAGTCCAAACTACGGATTATTAGTAATGCAAAGAGCTCTATCATTGTTGTTCGTCTTCGTTAGCACTAATATACCATTTCAGCACAAAAGCACAACCAATTACCTTGTTACTCAACTCTTCCCATTTCCATCTAGGCTATCACTGCATCTCATCTAATTGATCATGAAGCCTTTAGCCACACTCACTAGTATCCTAACAGCCAAAAAGAATTGACAACAAGGAGGAGTTATTGGTAGTCCATGGTAGTCTGTTACAGAGCAATGAATTGCTGCTCGATAATAAAGAAAGATTAATGAGTATGGAATAACACCCAAACAATGCTCACGTCGCAATTGGTAACTTCAAATTTAAGAGGCAACAGAAAAGAGAAAACCACAACCAACGCAGGAGCAAAATGACCTGAATCATTGCTCTAGTTGCTCCACTTACAGTTATTGTGGAGAGTCACTACATGACGGGTATGGGTAATATACACAAAACAATGGAGAATGAATGAATATTCCTAACTCAACAACAGATAATCACTTATTCATAAACCTCATGTGGAGGAAATAGTTTTCATTTCTCATCTCATAGAAAATCTTCTTCGCACCGTTTCAGTCACTTTTAGGGAAAACAGAGTGATCCGACATCTATTTAACTTTGTCTTCTTACTCACTGTTTAAGGGCCTTTTGTTATGTCGACGATGAGACAGGAATCTCCGCCCCATCCTCATACCCATTATCGCCCGACATCTAATTCATATAATACTATCCACACCAAGTTCCATTAATTTGATCTCTGCCTCCTCCATCTTCCACGAAAATTTGAAAATGATATGACATTAAAAACCTTCATTCACTTTTCTAGTACCACCAAAATATATATATGTAACCTTTTATCCCTAATTTCCCCTAAGATTTTAAATTTATGTTTCAACATTCTAGCTCTAAAATCGCACTTGTCTTTAACTTAATTATATTAGCTTTAAGTTAAGTTTGATTTGGATTTCCAAGCAGGTATTATTAGGGGTGACAAACCTTAAACCGTTTACCGGTGGTATCGGCGGCCGAGTGTCAAATGGTGAATCTCGGTTTACCAGCCCCAGTATCGGTAAATACTGACAGTAAATCGGTAATACCGATACCGACAAGTGCGCAACTTTGAGTTTGCCAAATATTAAGTTAAGGCATTAACATAACATATACTTCATTATTCACAAATATTACGTACATGAATGGAAGTAAGTATAGGCCTCAAAAATATTATAAATAAGAGTTAATAATAAATTATTAATTACAAAAATGAAGAAAAAAACTCAGAAAAATCAAAATATTACAACATCACCCCACTGCCCAGAAATTCGGTTCGGTAATTTTCAGGTAAACCGAACCGAAAAACCGTGCGCAACTACTCCTTACGGTAAGTCGGTAAAACCAGTTTGTAGCCGTTTACCAGTAATTCGGTAACCGGTAAACCGGTTACAAACCGGTATCGGTAATCAATTCCCCTTACCCACACTCGGCATACCGAAAACCGGTAGTACCATCATTTGGATAAAATCGGTTACCGACCGAATACCATCCACGATTATCCTATCGGTTAGCAGAGTATGAGTCTACTACGAATTGAAAATGGGGACAAATTCAAATTCAAGTCATTAGTTTTTATTTATGAACAGATGTATTCCAGCCACTCTCTCATGTCTGAATCATAACCCCTGCAGAAGTCCTGGCAAACATCAACAGATGGAATGTAATCTGCTTTCCGGATTCATTTTACTTCTACAAAATGTACACAAGACAAGCATAAATTTCCGGCAAAATCAAGGCACCGTGTTACAGGCATCTGTATTCTGAATGCATTCTTCTTTCTGTCAGCCGACCAGGCAATTCGAAAAGATAACACCTAATCAAAACAAACGCAGAATGGGGTTGCAAAAGCTAGCAAATGTTGTCTTAGAAGAAAATCAGTTTGTTCTAGCAGCAGGACCGATCGCTTAACGGCTTCTTCTGCTAGTGATCGGAGCCCTGGGCCCCACCTTCTTCCGAGCCTCGTCTCTTCTTCTTGGCCTCCCCATGTCTCGAACGCCTTGGCGCCTCATCCTCGCTTTCACTCTCGTCATTTCTGAAGCTGTTGCCTCCACCACCAAATTGGTCTTCATGAGAACCCGCCTTAGCTCCTTCATGCTGGTACCTGCTGTCATCGTCTGGTCTCGACAGATCTCTTCTAACCGATCTCATGCTGTTTTGTGACATTGGTGCCTGAAGTGGCGGATGGAGCATACCACCGCCAGGCCTGCCACCCCGCATCTGATTAGCAGCATTGGGACCCATCCCTCCCCCCATAAAGGGCGGTCCACGTCCTGGACCCATATTCATCCCGAACCCTCCAGGTGGAAATTGAGGGGGTCGCCCAGGGAACATCATACCAGCTCCAGGGCCAGGGAAATCGCCGGAGAACCTGGGACCATAAGGGCCAAATCCACGTGGTGCCACACCGAAAGGATCTGGCATTCCAAAACCATCAGGTGGTACATGATGTCCGTAAGAAAATCCATCACCATGACCACCCATCATCATTGGAGGGAATCCTCGGAGTCCGGGCATTGGCCTGACTCCGCGACCCATTGGTGGTGGCATTTGAGGAGGCCACATAAGTCCACCTCTGCCTCTCCCTCCTCTTCCCTGCATCGGTGGCATTAGTGGCTGCCCAAAGCTCTCTTCCTCCTCTTCGCTTTCTTCCTCTTCCTCTTCTTCATTGTCATCGAATAGAACAATGTCGGGGTTTTCATTCTCGGTATTCACTCCTTTTGCTTTCTCTTCTTCTCGTTTTGCTTCTGCTGCAACTGAGATTGCCTGCATCCAGATGAATTAGGTGTCAATTTTGCCTTTCCTTGCCCGAAGGCAGAAGACTGGAAGTTGGTAAGGGGAACAAATACCATGAGTTCACTATCGGGCTCGAGGTAAAGTAGGGAAGCCAGCTGCTCTCCAATGGAAGGCTCTAACTCCTGACAATCTCTACTAATCTGCATAATGTAAACCACACAGCACTATCTGAATACTGACTGGTGACTGCAGCAAGGCTGGATGGAACTACAAGTCTACAGATGCATGTCGTCCGGCAGATCAATTCTCAAGATATAAATGCGGCCTAGAAGTATACAAAAGGAACAACTGAAACACAACTAACACTAGGATAAGCATTAGCTATGCATAAGAAGTTCCAGATACTACCTTCACCGGTAAGTTCTCATTGTAAGGGTTCCTCAAATGGCGAGTTTTGTGGAATGATAGCTCACATAACTGCAGAAATGTTCAAATAAGCTTTGGGAAACCCGGAAAATGCAAATAACAAATGGGGAAAAATAACTCATGAAAATCATTCTTCGTCCCTGAATATTACTATTACAGAAGTTTTATTTTGATACCTTTAACCATTTAACAGAGAAGTTCCGTCCGTAATGTGCAGTGCCATGTTGGTATTTCCAATTCCCTCCACCAACGGTAGCCCCTATCTTTGATGTCATCTTTGCACAACCCTACGAAAAATGTCTTTCATCAGAAAGGTGGGGAGATTTGTCATAGATTAGAAAACATGTCATAAGATCCCAAACATACCTGGAAATGACGAGTTCGATTGACTGAGAAAATCAAAATGACATTTTCTGCAGAGTCAAAAGCTTCATTCAGTTTAGCTTCATTGCTTCTTTGAGTTGCCCATACACCTTGTTGGACTGATAGTTCCAAATTTTCACGGTTGCAACTTTTGACTATAAAATACCTAAGTATACATTTACCCAAACAGGTCTGGTTATTACTAGAACAAAATTTCCACCCTGACTGAAATGCGAGACTTAAATGTACACACAATTGACTCTAAAAGCAGAAATTTGAAATGCACTAACAGATCAACAAGAGGACTAGAAGTCCGGATCACTATTCTCATCAAAAGAACAATGAAAGCAGCCAGATCCGGCAAAAATGCTAGCATTCGTCAAACGACAAACCCTAATATCAGAATGAACCCCGTAAATTACACATTCAGAACTTATCTACACTGTAAAAAAAAAAAGAACTTTATCAACAAATGCAGAAGATAGTTGACAATAGTAATTGCCAATCTCAGACAAGACTCAAAATTTACACCCATACAGTCAGAACTCAGAAGAATTTGGTAACGCACATTACCTAGTCAATGACTGATGATGCTACCAAGAATATATAGTGAACAACATACATGGCTACTGGAAATCCTGAACTCTTAAATAAATAGATGTCTTTCATTCATTTTACAAATCCTTTAAAACATTATCAGAAACCCAAATGGAATGAAGTTTTGAACACAGCTATGGTACACTTGGACAGATACATATTACATCACTCACAAATTGTAAAAGGAAATGAAAGCCTTAATGGCCTGACCACTTCCGCATCTCGAACCCAGAAGGTATTCAGTTTCATTGTACAGTAAATCCATCATAGATAGGTCATGGTTTCAGGAGAAAAGTACAATAACAGTCTCGGCCTCTAGTGAAGAACATAAGCACTTTTTGCCTCTACTTCAAAATGGTCCTACAGATTTCAAATTGCTTAACATAATTAAGATTCTAACACTAATCCCTGGAGAATAAAATGATGTTTCGAACCTCCAGACCAATGTATGGCATCTGACATCTGTAAATAGCTAAGCTTCTTATATATCATAGGGGTTTCTGTTCATCTCATACATACTAGAATGTCAGATAAAATACAAAGAGGGGAGAGAACTTCTTCATAAATCACACTATAATATATTAACATCAACGAGACAAGATACACCAATTAAATTATACAACCCAGTTATAGGCCTTAGAACTCTGAACACACCTAGATATTCCTGGAGGCAAGGGAGTAGCTGCTTTGCTTGGCTGATTAGGCACCCCGTTTGGAGCATTTTGCATCTGCGTCTGGCTGACCTGTTGTTGCTGTTGTGGTTGAAGTTGTTGCTGCTGTGGCTGCTGCAACTGCTGTTGTGATTGCTGCTGCTGCGGCTGTTGCTGTTGCATGTTAGCAGACTCCACCACTGAAGGTCGCATATTCCCACCCTGGTTGCTGTGGTTGGGACCTTGCTGAGCATGCATTCTGTCACCTTGTTGATTATAACCGCCACGTTGTTGGAAAAACTTGTTTTGCCCATAGTATGAAGTCAATTGCTGAATCTTCTGGAGCACTTCTTCTACCGAGGGTGGAGGCCCTGGCAGCTTTGCGTGCCTATAACGACAATCTGAACCGTTTGGACAAAATCCCAGCTTGTACCTACAGTCACAAGAATTCCCTCAATTCTGATACCCCAATGCTTCACTTAAATCATTGCAGCTGGTCCTAAACAGAAGTTTGAATGCAGAGTTTACCATAAGGAACTTGGGGAAAGAATGCATTATCCAGGAGTTGGGCATTCTAAAGCAGATAAAATTGTAACTGAATGGGATTACTCAATCCAAAATCTAAAAGAACTTGGAATGTAGCCAGGTAGAACTTAGAATTATAGGTTAAAATCAACTAAAAACCCCCCAATTCAATGTTCTCTGGTAGAAGTCTGAAAGCAACAATCCGGTAGTCAGGAGAACTAAGCTAACCGATGAAAGAGTTACGAGAGGACGTACATGTTGCATTCTTTGATGTCCTCATTAGTGTGCTTGTAGACGCAATCCTGCTCCCGGCACTCCCCGTAGAGCCTGAAGAACCGGCAAATGGGCATCCGAGCCTTGTCATACTGATGCAGGAAACCGCACGCGTCGCCCTTCATACAGAGGCTGCGAAGCCAGTGCCGGCAGACGGTCTGCCGAAAGCTCCGCCGCCCGGATTGGTTGTTCGGTCCAAGGTCCATGGGCGCAGCGGCGGGGGTGGATAGATTGGAGGCAGCGTTGGCGGAGGCAGCGGCCGAGTTGTCCGATGGGATAGCCGGCATGGAGGCGGTAGGGTGGGAAGGCGCCGAATCGAGGCCACCTTCGAAGTCGAAGCTGAGAACTCCCTCCGAGTCCTCCATCGGTGCAGACGCACGAAGTCTCGCGCCGGCGACGATATAGGCTGTTGCAATTAGGGTTCTAAGGTGACTGGGTGAGGATGAGTTGGAAGTAGAGGGTTAAGGAACTGAAATTTGCAAGCTACAGAGAGCGATTAGTGATGCTGCTGTGCTGGCGATCGGGACGGCCAATGGCAGGGGGAATGGATTTCTAGGTCTTCCGTCTTCCTTTGTTCAGCGGCTCTGGAAATGAACGAAAGGCAAACGGGAACGACCAAAACCGGTGTTGCTACAGTACTGCGCTCTCAATCTCTCCAAAAACTTCTCGCAAGTCGCAAATACACTAATCTATTACTATTTTACCTACTATTTTTTTTTTCTTTCTTTTTTCTAGAATTGTCTGATTTTTGTTTAAACCCTCATGGTCATTTTTTTTTTACTCATGGTCTTGGTGTGTATATCAGGACAGACTTTTCCAAAAATAGCATCATTAAAAAAAATGACAAAAATAGCACTCAGGCCACACAAATTCCAAAAGTAACACCCTTTTGTTAAAAATCGCACGGTCAAGGTGCGGTTTACATATAAACAGCAACCTGGGGGTGCGGTTTGCGTTTTAAAACGTGAACCGCACCTTGAACAAGGCGGTTCTTAGGCTGACCTAGGAAAACCGCCTGCTGAGGATGCGATTTCTGTTTCTCTAACACAAACCGCATCCTCAGGGTGCGGTTTTCACTTGCCGACACACAAACCGCACCCCCTTGCGGTTTGTGTGTCGTCCGCATTTTCCCGACAACCAGCATGTTGGCCATGCAGGTTGACAGACGTGGGGCTGCATGGCAGATGAAAACCGCACCCTCCCCCTGCGGTTTTCAGTGATGATTTAGCCTATAAAAGGATACCCCGGGAAACCTCTTCACACCTCTCCTTCTTCTTCTTCTTCTTCTTCTTCAATTTTCTGTTGTAGCCCCCTACTTTTTATTGTTTTTGCGATTAACGTTATCTCGTAAGTTTATTTTGTATTACTTTTTATTGTGATTTGTGATTTTTATGATTCTAACTGAATTACGGTTTTATTGCAGATGGCATTCCAAAAGTTCACGCTTGGGTTACGTTGGAATGGTTACAAGGAAGAGACTGGAAAAGAGGGGTCACCTACGTCGGTGGCAATTTTCAGAAAATAAAGGTCGTTACCAGACCGATGCTTGAAGACCTCCATCAAATGTGTACTAAAGTTACTTGCATGGATGGCACGAAAAGAGTTGATCGTATGGTATACCAATATCCAAACAGAGAAGGCGGGTCGTTGTGACATGAGGAATATGTCATAACCACTCATGATGAAGTAGATGACATGCTCGAATTCTTGAGGTCCAATAATCTTTCCAAAGACGAGATGTTCGTTTACACCAAGGCGGTCGAAGGCGTTAGAGGTCATTCTGGAGACGGGCAAACATCTGGTATCCATGGTGGAGGTGAATTATATGGTGATCATCCCTGTAACACCCTAACCCGGCCGGGTACTGCTTTTACTAAAATGCCCTTGATAAATAAAATACTAATATCTTAAATTGCAGCGAAAACAAAATTTTCTTAAATAAAATAACGAAATCACACACTTGTAATTCAAAGCAACGCCCTAACACATGGGCAAACTCAATACTTAAAATCTCAAAGTGATCTCTAGTCTATACTCATAATCATAAATGTAAATAACTAATATCTCTAATGTTGTTGCTACTAAAAACCCTGACTAAGCATCCTCCGTGACGCTTATACTGCCCTCCTCTAGCTGGTTGCCCTCGAACTCGCTGCTCACTAACTGCTCCTTTAGCTCCTCCTCTAGCTCTTCAAACTGGTGAGTGAGATGTGGTCAGTCTACGCCCTTACGCTTAACATCTTATTAATACTTGATCACTTTACTTAACTTAGTGGAAATTGTTTTGTACTTCCACTATTAAAAATCTTGACTCTTAAAACTTCTTAAACCTCAAATCTCCACTTAAATTCTTGACTAACACAGGGATCTCTCACTAGCTAGTTCGGTTGCCAACTCAGACGTATGAGAACCCATCCAGGCTTTCTTTAAACTTAAACTTATCGTGTAAGGCTCTTTTCCACGATTCTCAAGAGCATAACTGCTGCTCATCTTAAAAATCTCAATGACATAACTACTGCTCATCTTAAAAGTCTCAAGAGCATAATTGCTGCTCATATCTCAAAATCTCAAATGGCAACGGACTTGGCTCTAATGACTAAAACTTTTAAAACGGTTCCACCTTCTTTTAAGGTGAATTACTTCTTAAAAAGAAACTTGTTTCTTAAACTTTAACAATAACTTAGTAAAGCTTTAAAGTAAATAATAACTCATGCACATTCACTTCAAACATAGCTCAAACAAAATCACATATCATCAACCATAAGCATGCACAATCATAGAAACCACTTCACAAAAATTACTTAACCCTCGTAAGATAAATGCTTAAAAATACGTAAGGCGTAGAATTTACCTCCTTGAACACTCACCTCAAAAAGACGACTCTGGTTAGACTCTGAAAATTCAAAAACTCCCTCCTATAATATTTCCCTCGTTTTTACGAATCTGTAGGCGCAGACGGTTCTTCGTTTGGACGTCAATCGATCGAGTTATGACCAAAATAAACATTCTGTAAGTTTAAAAGTACAAGGTACCGAAATTGCAATTTTTCCAGTCAATATAGTTTACCACGACCCCTCTGTAAAATTTCCGAAATAATCCACCAACTTTTCGAATTGTCCATAATGGTACCTGAACTTGACAGTTTTTCATCCAACCTTTCGATGTTCGTTTCTCCCTCGTCCGACGTCAGAATCCGATTTCGTCGACACGGTGATGATCCTGTGATCGTCCTCTTTGCATTGGTACCCCCAATCGAAAAAATACTTGGACTTGAGTTTTCTGGTTTTTCCGGTGAGCTACGAGGAAGTCCCGACGAAGGTCCGACGAGACCTCTAACTACCTCAAAATTTGATTCTAACTCCGTGGAATGGTTCCTAACATTCTCCCGAGCAAAAGCAATGCCAAGAATCCTTCGTTTCCCACTCTTTGATCGTCGTACGAATACCCGTCGTGTCGCCACAAAGCTTCCGGAATATGATTCCATCGAGCTACTAGTAACGAGCTGACCGCCACGACACGTTGAGACTACGAGAGCGACGACTGCCTCCTTACGCCGAGCAAGCTCACGCTGGAAGGGCGAGGAGCGTGATGGCGAGGTTGGCGCTACTGGCTGCTGCTTCTGTCGCCGGCGTAGCGTCCGTCGTGCAAGATAATGGACGGGATGGGAGCCCCTGCGATTGTTTTCTCGTCGGTTGCTGCTGCTGTAACCTCGTCGATGGAGGTCGTACGGGTAGAGCGAGGGAGAGGGGATGGGAGATCGATTGGGGATTTTTTGGCCGGTGCTGCTGCACTGGCGGGTGAGGGGAGCTGGGTAGGTTTCCTTCCTTTCCTTCTTGCGTTACTGCTGTTGTTTTAAGGGGAAGAGATTGGAGTGTTAGAGGAAATTAATCGGGGAGAAGCCGAATGGGGAAACAAGTTAAAGGGTGGGGGGGAATAATGGGTTTAATTGGGGGGAGGGGGGAAGGAGAGTCCATGAGGTACAGGCGGAGTGGGTGTAAGTGTAACGGGTGGGGATTAATTCCCTTTTTCCTTTTATTTAAATAATAATAATTAATAATCATATTATTATTCCTTCGTACGTGATTGTTGATCCAACTGTTGGTCGTACCTAGACCCAAATATCGAGGTGTAACAATCCCGACCAAAGTTACCATGATCCTCATTCCTACTTTCAGTACTAAGAGCAAGGTGAAACTCATCATCAATCTTTCCCATCATATGAAGAAGAAGTTCAACGGCACCATCCAACCAACCTGAGTACAACTTCCATTCAGGCAGCGGCAGTTTTCACAACTACCATTACATAGCTGATTAAGGTGCCATTCATGATCTAGATCAGATGGAAGATGCCCTGCCAACACCAGATAGTGACCCCTTCGACGAAGAAGGTGGGAGCAATGTTAGTGCAGACAACTCTGACCCTCTTGAAGGTGCTGATGATTTAGGAGGCCCAAAGTCAAACTCAGATGATGATGAGGTGTCTCGTGACCGTGTACCTAATTCGTACTACACTCACTTTCCAGACGATAATTGGTGTGTTGATAGCGACATGGAGCCTCCAGAGGTCCCACTATGGGGTCCACTTAGTGGGTTTATGAAGGGCCAACAATTTGGTTCTAAGAAGGAGGTGTGGCACGCCTTTGAAACTGAAGCAATGACTCAGCATTTTGAATGGCACACAACTCATTCCAACACGAAGAGGCTCATAGTCAGATGTCGTAATCAACAAGAGGGATGCAATGCTAGGATTCGGGCCATCAACAGCAAGAGACACGACTATTGGGTCATATCCCGTGCGGTGAACACAAACACATGTGTGTCATCCATAACATCCCAAGGCCATCGACAATTGAAATCCAGGGTGGTGGCCGCGGCGACTATCAAGTATCTAATTGAGCAAGATCCTGACCTGAAAGTGAAAGTCATAATTGCTGACATTACAAGTCATTATAGTTATATTATCAACTATAAGAAGACGTGGCATGAAAAGCAGAAAGCTCTAGCTGCCGTCTTTGGTGATTGGGAAGACTCATATGCATTCCTTCCCAGGTTGATTTTGGCATTGGAGGCGTCTAACACTGGCACGATTTTCTCCCCTCGATACCAAGATGAAGAGATACAGCCGCCAGCTCCCGGTGACAAACGCCATACGGGTGTAACAATGGGTGGTTGCGGTGGAAAAATTGGACGTGTCGTGCTATGGCACTCGTCGGTGTTGTGGCAACGTCGATCTATAGGAAGAGGCTCTTCCAGGATCGCGCGGGGGACATCCACGCTCATACAGTGAGGAGTAGGAGGCCACGGTTGTTGAGGGCGAGGAAGGGGATTGAAGTCGGGTTGTCCAGTCACGGATGAATCATCATGCCAAGTACCCGAGGATGTAGGGGGTCGTTGAAGAAGTTCGGGCGGGGATCTTGGTAGGAGCTCGGGCGGGGATCATAGTAGGATGACGGTCGGGGAGATTAAGGGTAGCTCGTGTGGGGATCATAGTAGGAGATCGGGCGGGGGGATTGTGGGTAGTTCGGTCGGGGATCGTAGTAGGAGCTCGGGCGGGGATCCTAGTAGGAGCTCGGTCGGGGATCTTGGTAGGAACTAGGGCGGGCCGAGATCGTAGTAGGAGGAGGGGTGGGGATCCTAATGGTATGTCGGGCCGCCACCGTGTGAGGAGCTGGGGTGGGGATCCTGATGGTAGCTAGGGCTGACACCGTGTGTCACTTCCAAAGGACCCGACACTTTCCACCCCTCAATCGGCCTGATCTCGGGCAC